ATTCACTTAAAATAATAGTTTAAATTAGCAAAAAGGAACTCTTCATTTATGAACTGTTTTCATAATTATATCAAAGAACCAGAATGAGGTTTTTGTTAATTACAGACAGCCCATAAACACTAAATTCAGCAATATTTTTAAATAACCTCTTTACATGGTTATTACACTAGATAATGATGAATGACTTAGAATCAAGCCTCATTTAGATATAATCCAGAATTCAAGTTTACTGGAAAACATACCAAAATATCATTTAAGGAGCGGATTTTTTACTTTAAGTAAAACTATTACAGATGTTCTGAAAACACAAATATTTTTCTTTATCAAAGCATGTTTCCCAGCCAAAGCCAAGTGCTTTATTAAATAGAAAATACTGTTTTTTTTATATATAAATGACAACCCATCAGAGAAATAAAAACAATGCTGGTATCAGCTGTAATGTGGTGGACACAAGATCAATAACATGATGAGACATGCAAACAATCTCAGTCATTCCTTAACCTAAACGCACACAGTAGATTCAATCACTGTAGGTGCTCCCTCTCCTCTCCTGAGGGTGGAGAGGACACATGTGTGTGTAGAAGATGGGACTAAGGGGGTGCTACGTGGCTCTCCTGAAAGCGTGTCAGGGAACAGGCTATCAGAGAAATTCACCAACCATGCCACTCGCTCCCCTTCCTAACAGGGCTGAAGCTTCTAGTTACCTGTCTTCTGTTCTACTCTCCCCACAAAGAAGTAAGCTTTCCACATGACAAGACCCTTCTGGTCTGTCATACGCAGCAATTTGGGCCTGGATGAAATAAAGTTTGATTGTAAGCTATCCCATCTGTAACTACCAGCAGAAAACAAAAAGACATACTAACAGGCTCATGGTTACCAAAGCAGACTCAATGAACTTACAGACACAGTTGTCAGCAAAGCTGTATTTCACAGTATCTCTCTGTAGAACTATATGTATGTCTTGGGGTCATCAATTAAAAAAGCAGGTTTTGCTCACCTGGGGCAAAAGGCTGACACTAACAATTTTCTTTACTAGCAAATCATTACATGATGATATTTTTCTCAGAAAAGACATAGGGGATGAAAGTACACTTCAGAAAGCTTTCCTAACTGGACTGCCTGCTTACGAAAGTTACTGTGCTGCCTGAGCACCCATTGCCTTCCCATGCTGTTAGTGCGATGCCCATTGCCTAACTGCACTGTGCCACACCTCCTCGCCTCCAGACAGGATGCCGTGCATTGAAGCAGTACATTCTGTACCAGAGGAGAACCCCGTGCAAACCCAGGGTAGCCACAGCTCACCCCTGGCAGCAAGTTCTAACTCAGCCCATGTCACACTGTGGCACTGAAGCTCCCCTACCTCCTAAACTTGTGGCAACACAGCGGGGAAAAGCACCTCCATGAGGGGCAGCTGCCCCACACCTCAGCCACTGAGGGTCCCCACGTGGTGCTGGAACAGCTGAAGAAGAATTTCTACAACAAGTGCGAGTGCCTGCTCCTACAACGGCAACAGGTGACACTACCTGTTATTGACATGTTCGTTTGTGCCTACCGTCCAAAGGGACGGTTCAGACACCCAGCTGAAGTGGCGCACGGGGTGCTCGCTCCCAGAAGATGACTCTTGGTCTTTGGGAAGCCAGCCACACGCACCGGGGCAGCAGCCCCCAGCTTTCACTGCCACAGGGGCGCAGGGGCCTGGCAGCCGGTGTGTCCCGGTGCAGATTCCCGTTCCCTGGCTGATTGGGTGCTGAACGAAACCCCCGAGGCCCAGACTCAAACCACCGCCCGGCGACAGGGCTGAGCCCCGTTCCTACGGAGCCTACGCGCCCGCCGCGGGCCTGCAGGCCCCCCGGTGACACGGCCTACGGGGGGGTCCGAAGAGGAAGCACCACATAGAAAGCCACAGCGCCCGCTCCTCCAGCGCCCCGGAGCCGTTAACGGCCGCCCCGCCGCCTTGGCGAAGGGGCACTTCCTTCCCCCCAGCGGCGCCCAGCTAACGGTAACGGGCGGGGCGGAACCCCCGCGCGCAGCCACGTCACCGCCGGCCCAGCGGGGGCTCGCGCCAGGAGCGGGGCGGGGGGCGGCGGGGCGGCGCGCTCCGGGCCGGGACGGGCCAAGCCAGGTGGGCAGCAGGCCCGAGACGCCCCGCCGCGCCCATCCGCAGAGCCCCCAGCCGTGAGCGGCCGCCCTCACACCGCCGCCGCCCTCGCCCCGGTCCCGCGCGCCACTTCCCTCCCCTCTCCTCAGCAGGGGCCACTCACCATATTACTCCCCGCACCGGAAGAGACGGCGCCATGCGAAGCCGGAAGAGGCGGAGGAGCCTCCCGTCGCTACGGCAACGAGCGGGCCCGTAAGGCCGCGCGCGGCAGCGGAAGTGACGCCTCAGGGCAGCGGCGGAGGCGCCTCAGCCGAGAGAGCAGCTTGGGTCTTCCCCCCCACCTCCTCACCTGGAGCAGTGTCCAGCTCTGGAGCCCTCAACACAGCAAGGACATGGGCCTGGTGGAGCGGGTCCAGAGGAGGGCCGCGAGGATGATCAGGGGGATGGAGCACCTCTGCTACGAGGACAGGCTGAGGGAGCTGGGGTTGTTCAGCCTGAAGAAGAGGAGGCTCCGGGGAGACCTAATAGCAGCCTTCCAGTACCTGAAGGGAGCCTACAGGAAGGCTGGGGAGAGCCTGTTTACAAAGGCCTGCAGTGACAGGATGAGGGGCAATGGCTTTAAGCTGAAGGGGAGCAGATTTAGATTGGAGATTAGGAGAAAGTTCTTCACTGTGAGGGTGGTGGAGCACTGGAACAGGTTGCCCAGGGAGGTGGTTGAGGCCCCATCCCTGGAGATATTCAAGGTGAGGCTGGATGAGGCCCTGGGCAACTTGGTCTCGTTGGGCATGTCCCTGCTGACTGTGGGGAGGGTGGAGGAGATGACCTTTGGAGGTGTTTTGCTTCCCCATTCTGTCTGTGAAAATCCAAGGACAGGGCACCGTCACGGCGGTCATGGTGCTCCGCCGCAACGAGATGGTTTTTGTTTCCCCACCTCTGCGTGTAGTTAACCCTCCATACAGAAATACACCTACACTCACCTCAGCGTTGCAACCGCCAGCCCGCTCCCTGCCGCTGCGTTCTGCATGAACGGCAGCAAGGACACAGCTTTTGGAGTGGAGTTTTTTCCCCAGCAGAACCCCCAAAGGACAGCAGCTCTCTCAACTGCAAGAACGCTGTTGAAAGACATTTTTTTCCAGTGTACAGAAAATGTTTTGGGAACAACCTAAAATCTCACTGCAGCTGCTGCTTCCACTCAAACTTAACCAGAAAATCAGAAGTCAGGTGAACCAGAGGGGTAACATTTTATCCGTACGATACGGTCCACAAAGTTGTTAGGTTACTTCAGTATTGACACATTATCAGGCTTTTTGATAATTTCATGTCTTAGGGATACCCCTCCAAGAAGAGGCAAACTGTTAGTTATAAGAAATGGCACTTCTACAATTCACAGAAGATAAATACTACAATTAATAGTGCAGCTGATACTAGCATTCTGCATATAACAAAACTAAGCATTCAACGACACCTCACAACTGAGGCAAGTTTGAGGCCTTTTACAAATTACTAAAGTAAGATTTGATAAAAATAGAACTTACATTATTAGAACATTGCGCTTACAATATAAATTTGCAAAAAAAAAAGCGGAATCTTCAAAAGCATTTGGTAAAAACAACACAATTTGTTCATTAGGTTGGTTGTAGGCTTCTGAAATTCCCTTTTTTTGTTGTTTTTTAGCTACACCACAGCACCTGGAATGAATCCTTCACATGTTGAGAGATGGATTTTAGTTAAATTATATCTTTCTGCTTTCAACACTACATAATATTTTCTGTATTATTGTTACACGCAGAAAAAACTACTTAGAAAAGGTTGCATAATTATTTCTCTGTTCTGGAGCCACATGCAGCCTTGTAGGAAACAGGCTGAATTTCACAATTTCACACAGTATTTGGAAATTTGCAGAAAGAATGCTTGAGTGGGGAAAAAAAAAGCCACAAAACCAACTTTAAACTAATTTTCCTCACTTTTCTCTGGCAAACTGAAAACATTAAAATACAGAAATAAACAGATTTTCATGTTAAATACACCTGCATCCGACACTAAGCATGGAGCCTTGTCTCTCACCATCTTAGAACAGGACAAGATTTATCTTTTAATGAGTCTAACATGCTTCACTCCAGGGTATGCTGCCAAATCCGTGATCTCCATAGATCTCAACATAGCAAGTGCTGGAATACTGTTTTCAGGCTCTTGCTTCTTCACTAAATTTATCTGAGCATCTCCTCTACAAGATACAAGTCTATTTGAGGATCTGCAACCTATACACAAAATTGCTAATCAAAATAATTTAAGTGGTTCAGAATCTACCTCCAAGTAGTAGCATTTCAGCCAAAGAGAGATACTGGACAATTATCCCACATAGGCAACAATGCTGCCTTCTAGCCCGAGGAATTAATGCCCGATAGAAGCAGTAATGGCTTTTATGCTTCGGCCATAAACCCAAAACATTGGATTTTTTCCCCCAATTGCTTTATTTATTTTTACTTGGATTGCTTGCCTTAGCAGTGATAGATATGATGACGTGTTTAAGGCAGCAGTCATGGCTGCTTTTTGAGACCCCTAATGCTGCCAGATACGTAATATTAAAATAATCCAACTTTCTATGTTATCTTCAGGATGTAACTGAAAGAACAGGAAGCCCCAGCAGTTGTTAGCAGTGCAGATACAGCCTCAAGACAATGTCCAGAAATTACAAGCAGTAACGAGATGGGCTTAAGTGAAGAATTTAGATTATTACCTCAAAAATAATAGCAGCACTCTTCCCCCCAGCAAAAGAAAAGGCACCATTTTGAAACCAAGTAAACTGTCTCCAAATAGCTATTTTCACCATGACTACCAGAATGAGTTTTGGGAAACCTCCTGGAATTCACGGTGATTTACCAAGACTAGGATAAGCACACGCTTTCGGTTTCAGCACATTTATTTAGGAAGTAGCACTTCTGTTTACATTAGTTTTAAGAACTTGAGTTATGTCCTTTAGGAACTAAATGAGGTATTTACATATTTAATGTTCCATCATATGGTATACAACACCTGTTTGGTTTTGGTCTGTTTTTTAAACCAGCAGCAACTTAACAGGCTTCAGGTTTAATGAAAAGGCTCTTCGTTTTTTATATTTTATCCGATAAACAGACAAGAAAACAGTAAGAACAGGACAAATGCAACATTTTATTGTGAAGCTAAAGCTATGTGACTGCTCATCATGCTTTTTTTACATTGCTTATTAATAAAATGGTGTCTTAACATTTCAGGAAACAAAGGAACAATGAAACAAAAGTGCTTCAAAACAACAAAATACAAGAATTGACTCCATCCTAGACTAGAGTTGTTGAATATATTTAAAGGGGGTGGGGTATAGAGTTTTGTCTCCACCTTTGGTTTTTGTCACTTTAATCCAGATTTCTAAAAAATACTGACTAGCCCTTCAGATCAATAAAAAATTAAACCATGCGGCAAAACCGGTTTCTAAGTTTTCAGTCCCTTTGATAGGTGTGCAAGTACTAGATGAAGTACTTTCTTCCCCACTTCAAATGGTAAAAAAACCCCAGCGAACTGAGAGGCAACACCCCTGGCACCTTAGAAGAGTACGCCTGTAGTAACCACCTACAAAGAACGTTGGCCTTTTACCTCAGAGGCACTTCTCTGAAACAGGATTTTAAGAAGTGTGTCTTATGAAGGCGGGGAAAGTCCTACAGCAAAACAAAAGCTGATCACCATGGTTTCCACACAGCATGTCAGGAATCTGCAAATGCAAAGCTCAAACCCCAAAGAATCCACAGTGTTTAGCCAATATATTCAATCCACTGGAGGAGTGTATACCTTGCCAATTATTGCCAAACTCAGGAGGTAGTTATTGACAAAGTAAACAGTTGCTACTCTAAGACAGTTGACGATTTACATGAGAAGCAGGAAAAACACCATACACATTTCCCCATGCTTCAGAAGATGATTTTGTATTTGCAGGAAGTGACAGTTTAAATTCCTAATCCCGTGGAATTAATAGTTACAGTATTTAAAAGAAAAATATTGAAAAGGATACTTGAAAATTCTAAAAGAAAATAACTGATCCATTGCTCATCTCATAGGATGAGCAGCAGATCATTCTATGCATGAAAACTCACATAGGTGAGTGAACAACATCCTTCAACACTAAACAGCAGCTCAAGACAACCAAACAATGAAACTGGCAACTGCCTCTAATTAGCACAATGCTGAGATAACTAGTTGCATTCACTACCTGCTTGCTACAGTCCATTCCATTTTTGATATCTGGTAGGTAGAAGTCCCCAACACTAAAAACAGGAAGGAAGCTTGAGACCTCCAGACAATGAATGAAGATCCATAACCTGCACCAGTGCTGGCTGCCCCCCACAGCTGCCACGCGCAGAAGCATCACTAAAGCACTGGAGTAGCAAGGGGAACACGTCTGGGGCACAGCTACGCATTATCCATGTCTTGGGTAAGAAAGCACTGTACGAATCTAGGGCACGGTTTGACCACCGGTGGTTCACAAAGCCCTAAGTGGAACGCTGCTTTCCATACCGGTTCAGAACAGACATCTCAGTTAGGTTTGCCAGCGTGTCTGACTTCAGTATTCCCAATGCAAAGGAATTAAATTTCACGAGCAGGACTTGGCAGCAGTGCCAAGCAGCGCCAGAAAACGCTTGTTCAGAATAGAAAAGGTACTGTTTATTCTACACCAGAAAGTAAGGTTATTTGTCTGAGTAAGTTCTACGTATAAAACCTGTCATTTTAAAAACATCTGAGGAAATCTTAACAGTGAAATCAGCAATGACCCCTAGTGCAGCAACAACAAATTTCTTCTCAGTTCACAGATCCCATTCTTCCCCACTTTGAAGTGTTCCTATCACATTTATTATCTACATCAAGTAAGCTGCAGGGCCATATTCAATACAACTGTATTAGCGACTGACTTTCTGAAGTAGAATCAGTCAGACACCTCAGGCAGAATTGCCTACCTCTAATACATTGAGCTCTGTAAAGTCTAAGAAACTAACAGGACAGAGAGACTTACATGTGCAGAAATATCCTAGTTTAAGGCTCATCTTTAATATTCAGTGGGTTTTTTTGTCTTAGCCGCAAGGAAAAATCCTGTACAGGTTTGGTGTACTCTACAGAAAAGTCAACATGAGTAAAGGGAACATCACAACACACGACAAATCTTCATTTTAAGGAGAAAGAGCATCACACAGTGCTTGAGTTTTTCAATGTCCTGTTATGCCACCAAAAGCAGCGACCCAGTGCCTGAGAAGACATTATTCTTCCAACACATAGGAAAATAAAAGGTGCATTTCCTGCTTAATAATAAAAAGAGGCAAAGACATATGGAGAAGGTTAAAAAAAAACCCAGGACGCTTAGGTTGTTTTTTTCTCCCTCCAGTAACTGCTACAATTTAAGTCAGTAAAACACAAAGAGGGCCAGACAAGCTGCTTCCTAATCACCTCAAAAAAGTGGGTCAAGTCACTCATCAGCAGAGGCCAGATTCAGAAAAGGGGGGGAAAAAAAGAAAAGGTCAGCAGTTTAGAGAGCTAATGTAATGCTGATCTCTGCAAAGGTTAAAAGCATCCAAGCTGCTGTCCTGCTTATCCCATTCTAATCCAAGATACCATATTAGAACATAATCTGATTTTATGGTAAACACAGTCGCAAAGTTCTATATAAAATACCATAGATTTGGGAAATATAGGCATTTAGAAGTTGTTTTGGGAGGTGGGGGCTGTTTTGGGGGTTTCTTCCCCCTCCCTCCCCCCCCTCCCAATCTGCTTTTATAAACAGTTACTCCAACATACAGATGAAAAACCTCTCAGCTGGGACTTAGTACACGTAGAACAAGAAACCAGAAGATGTGAGATAATGCCTTAAGGGGAAGAGAATTATTCTTAAAAGACACTATTCAGAAAATAGCACAAGACAGACATTTTAAGAAGATTTATGAACCAAACGGAACTTGGTCATGGGCTAGAATCCAGCAGCTATGGGGCAAACTGACGTTTCAGAACAAAATTAAGTTATTACTGTGTTCCAGCACTAATTTACAGAGCTGTAGTTCATCCATTATGCAGAAAACAATCAAGGCAGAATAGATAACCAAAAAGCAGTGGTACCAGTCACACAATCTCTGGCCCCGAACTGGTTGTAGGAACAAGTGAAAGGGCTCATCCTTTTTCTTTCTGAAGTGGCAGCTGGTTCTCCTCACTCTCTGTGCTGCTCACTGGCGGCGTTTCAGCAGATGGGAACTCCTGCCTCTACATTTCAGGTACCTATAACATGCCAATAGGTATGTCTTTGAAATGAATACCAGTGCATTCCTCAAAATTAAGTGGAGGAAAACAGAGTTTGATAACAAATATTTAGGAACACTCAAAGCTAGACGTATTAGCCTCGAAGTTTTCATTTGCAAAAGATCTCAAGGGAAGTTTACAAGCTTTATGAACAGGAAGAGGTTTAGCAATCTGGTAGTTGCTAATAAACCAGTAATATTCATGCTTAGCACTGAAGTCTATGGCAAATATGAATCAAGTCAGCCAGGAATCTCCAGTAACAGAGAAGGTCTACTGAAGGCAGAACTAAGGCAAAGCAAGCATTACATGAGATCTAAGAAACTGAAATCTTTTACCACTTCTCATTTCTCCAGGGAAGTGAATCCGAGGAACAGAAGTCATGTGTTTCATTTACATCTGACATACATTTGAGAGACTCATACCCTTAGAAGGCTAGAAATGGTTTGGTTAGACTATTTCAAAAGGCATACTAGTGTTACGCAATCTTCTCTTATTTAATTGCTTTTACTCTTAAGATCAGTTAAAAGCACCTCTGGTTCAAAAAACCCAGAATCCTAAACATATTGCATCTGTGCGTCTCAGAAGGTGGACAGAGTCTCTGCTGTGTAGTACCCACTGCAATGCAGTGAGCAGAGAGACCTCTCTGGGTATTACTGTACTTACACCGCATCCATCAGTTAGGGGTTTTTTTTCCATGTATATATATATACACATAGATAATATATATTATTTATAGTCAACTTTCAGGTGAGTAGTGCCAGAAATATCTGACTTACTCCTACCAATAAAAAATAAGTTAAATGAAAAATTAAGAATAAAATTTTCCACTACAACCAAAAGCAAACAAAGCTTATAACACAATTTAAACTGTAAACAATATGCATTTTTGTATTATCGCCAAGTTGGGAAGAGTTGTCTTTTTTTTAAAACAAAACAAAAGAAACCCCACAAACCTGCTCTAAACAAGGAATTAGTGTTCTGCCTTGCAAACATCTGTGCTTAATCCATGTAGAATTTGTAAAGGAGATGTCAAGCCTTTAGTAGTAAAGGCAAACATGTTTTCCTTTATTGCAGTATTTAAAGGCTATTACTTAAGTGGGGGTTTTTTAATAGCTTGTCATTTATGTAATAAAAACAAGTATTTGTAGAAAGATGCAATTTCTTTTTAAAAAAGCAGGTAAGTTGAGTGTTTCATACTTTAATATATAAACCAAAACATATGAAAGCTATAAAAACATTAATGTGTGCCATGTATTAAACATGTAGCCAAATATTTTAATGCTTACATGTGTAGATTAAAAAAATTATCACAATGGAAATTTTACTTTCAATTATCATAAACAGACCAAAATACAGAGTAGAAACACATCATTTGTGAAACTTGACAATTAGCATCACTTACTCTCCAAACATCAGCTGGGCTTCAAGTTGTACACCATAAGCGTAAACTAACATCCTACCAATGGAAGCGTTACAAAATGCGTTAAGAGAAAATACTGCCAGTAAATCAATGTCTTAGTCTATTTTTTTTTATTTAGTGATTTATTTTTTAAAGACAGTTTGAATTGGTTTGTATTTATAGGGCTGGGGTTTTTTGCTGTTCTGCTATCAAAGGTCTTCTTTAAAACTGTTCTGTGAACAATACAGTCACATTACAACTAAACAAAAAGACAAATAATAACAGACCAGCTGCTTTTTGCATTTTAATAACTGTAGTTCCCCATTGCTGTTCTTCCTCTTTGCATAGGGAAATTGTTTTATTTGGCACATTAAGGATAAAAAAGTCAAAAATCGAACCAAAGTTTACAAACCTCCAATTTTAAGTTAGTAGTTATCAGGAAGAAAGCCAGACATCAATGTCATGGCAAAACTGAAAACAAAGAACCACACACACAACATAGGGAAAAGGTTTTCCAATGATCAATATCATCAGAGCCTTCTAGCTGAAACAAAATACATATATTATTGTTCAAACCATAATCGGATTGCTAGAAATCTTGTCTCAAGTCCTGTTGTGCTCTTACTTACAGTGTGTAAATCCTCACTAAATGGCAAGGAGGCTTTGATGAACACATTTCACATTGTATAATTTTTTCTTAATGTCAAGTTTTAATGCAGATACTTGAAGATCTGTAAAGTCCTGTAAACTCTGGCTGCTCTCCAGTAGTCTGTACCAATTGCTCCTTACACAGCACTTTGTTTCGAGTAGTGTTTCACACTGTGGTATCTCCAAAGTCCTTGTTCCAGCGAATATACGCTTCCAGGGTCTGAGGGCTCAAACTGCGCTTTATCTTCTTCAAAGACTCAGTGAAATCTGACAGTTTGATATTTCTCATCTAAACAAAAGGATCACAAGTGGTTTATGTATTTCAGGTTATTCAAAAAATACTTCAGTATTCACTTTTAACAAAGCCTATTCTATGAGTGCTTCATCCTGATATAAGGAAGACATTTTTTACAGTGAGACGGTCAATCACTGGAAGAACCTCCCCAGGGAACGGTAAAGCGCCCATCGCTGGAGGTTTTCAAGATGCAATGGGACAGGGTGCTAGATAATCTCATCTAGGTTCCCTTTCCCACAAAACGTTGGACCAAATCATCTTTCAACTTCCCTTCCACCCTGGGCTGTTCCATGATTCCATGACCTGATACAAGAGTCTTATAATTTAATCTATCAGTATTTACTATTTTTAATCAACTAACATTTAGTAATCATAATGTCTGCCTTGTTATTTAATAGCCCACGAGATCGTGTTATGACTTCCTATTTCACTAGGTGGTGCAAGCCACTGCATATGAGAGCACAGAACTGAGTAGAGAGTAAGACACAAGGGTTTTTTTGACATGTTTATGGCTGCACACCAGGAGAGTAAGGCCCTGAGAGCTCCCGCCCTTGCCACAGCTGTATTCAGACCACAGTATGCTGTCAGCCAAGTAATCCCGATAATCTAACCTCTCTCATTCAAGACAAGCCTTTCAGTTGTTTGCTCGGGACGTGATTATAACCAGACATTTCCAAATGCCCAGACATGATGGGAGAGAACCAAAGTGTGTGGAACAAGCAGCCTCACTAAGAAAGCAGTCCTAATACTACAATTCCAGAAGATTCCCCATGTTTCTTTGGGACTAGTATTTATAGGCTACTGGAGGTAAACTTGTATTCACAACAGATTATCACAGATCTTCTCATTTTCCTGCAACAAATCCTTTCAGCTTATCATAGCCTTAGCCACGATCTAAGGCAAAACACAGAAAGCAACAGGGGAATTAGGTTTTGCTTCATTTTACCCTACATAATTGTGGTTTGCACACACATTTCAACAGAAACTTTTATATGCAGGACCAACCTCTTCCTTCTTTATTGATATTTACAGGTGCAATTGGTGGTGAGAAACTTACTTAATTGTTGTTTTTTTTTTTATTGTGTTTTTGCTTTATGATGGTCCATGTGAATGAATGTTAAGTATTCTGCCTATACACAAACAAATCTGTTTTAAAATCCCTCAGAGGTTCTCCCTAAGATGACTTGGTTTATGCAAAGACAGGGGTGGAAATAAAATCAATCACTTGACATAATGCTTCTGGGAATGTTTTGGGGGAGTAACACTGTGAGAAAATAAAAGCCAGGCCTCTGACACAATCTGATGGGTAACAGATCAAGTTGCTCTTCAGTGTGAAGGGAAAGGTGGGACAGTCAGCTGAAACTAAGAGCAGCAGAGACTTGCTGTCAGAAAAGGAGCTGCTCTTAAGCTTGATAACCTCAGATATCTGAGGACAGATTTTCTTCTTGATCACTATTTGGAAAGATTTTTCTTCAACGAAGAAGTAATCAAAAAGGGTAAGACCCCCAAAAAAATACACTAGGTATTTTGTATGATACTGTGTGTAAATTAAGGGACCTTAAAAGTTTCTGGTGATCTGCATTCTATTCAAAGGGGGAATACAAAGGGGAAAATACAATCGCTAGAATAGTATACATACCTCGCTGGCAGACATGTTCTTCACCTGTTCTGGTTTTAATTCTGTAAAAATAAAGGAAGATCAGTGAGTTTCGTAAGAAAACATTCATCGATTCTGACACAAAGCATGTTAAAAGCACTTATATTCTGAAAAAAAACAAAACAAAACCGCCACAACTAAAAATTATACCTCTCTTTCTCATAATCTCCTCTACAGAAAGGTACATTTTTTACCTCCTCCTCCCCCATTTATCAGAAAGGTGTTTTTACCTCCTCCTCCCCCATTTATCAGCTCTCCTCAACCAGGCTGCTCCCACACTCTATCACTGCATATACAGTACAAAGTGGTAGCAGAACTACTTCCTTCTTCCTAAATTATGGGGAACATCAGGCAAGTGTAACAGAGGTACCTTTCCCCATATTATTCCTGGTACCTGCAACCCCCTTACCCCTCAAACATGCACAACATTCAGGAAACAGAAAGGTACCCTCAGCCAAGAATACAGGAATAAAATCAGGCAGGGCACATAGGAGTGCTTCTTGCACTGGTGGGATCTAACCATTCCAGTCTCCTTCACCATTTTACTTTTTTTTTTTTCTTCCTACTTGCAATACTGTTATGGTATCAACATATCACAGCAAACTTTTTGCTCTGAGGGTGCAAGAAAAAGAATCTAGGCAGAACTGGTAAGGCTGACACTAAAAAAAATTTAAAAAATAAATTGTTTTATACAGAAGCCATGAGCAGGTGGAAGAAATAGGTTGCAAAACATTTCATTGTCTCTTCTTAAAATGGACTTGTACATGAAGTGATTTGTCAGCAAAGAAAAGCCTGCATACCTAAATGCATACATTATTAATTCAACCACTCTAAATAAATACATTCAAAGTCTTAGGAGACATGATGTCTCTTGCGAGAGCTATTTATACAATTGTTTCCCAGTTATTACGAGAGGTTTTGGAAGGTGTGCCTTACAATCTCAACAGCTGAAAGTAAGTGGGTAAAAAACCATTACTTTCCAGCAGCTGCTTTCAAAGAGATAGCGTGCTGGCAAAACTGCACATTATAGGATTTTTGACTCAAAAAAAAAAAAAAAAAGAGTAGTAAAACAAGCACACCCACAAAACATGCACAGACCTCTCCTCCCCATAAATCATTCAAGAGAACTGCAACAACTTTCATTTACACATAATAGGCTGATATTATAGAACACTTTTGCTCTGGCTGCCTACCTTTCTGTCAGGTAGGACAATGCATCTGCAAACAGAAAACTAGCATCAAATCTTCACAAAATCCCACTGCTGATCTCCACTAAACAAAATCAGCCCCTTCAGATATGGCTACTGGACACATAATAACTAGCTAGTGAAACAGAACAAAGGCGGGGTTGTAACCATCATTTTCTCAAAGCTGAAACGTCAGAGGAAGAACAAATATTAAGTAAAATTCTACTTGAGTCACAATTGTCATCTGGATCACAATTCAACGTTAAGAAGCTTTTTTATTTTAAAATCTACAGCATTCAAACTCTATCTAAAAAAAAGCTCAAACACAAAATTGCTTCTGTTTCAGTATTTGCTTCTTTTAGACTTGAAAGAGATCTGCCCTCTTTATACGACAAGTAACGCAGTCAGAGACTGCTATTCAAGTAATAATTTAGATACAACAGAAGTGAAACCAGCCTAGGGAAGATGCACTAGTTTAAAACCCCACAAATCTGTGAAAAACACTTCACCCTGCTTTCCTCTTAAGACGCAAAAAGTGTCTGTTTCACATGGTGAGCTACTGAAGGGTTTTGTTTAAGGTAAGTCTTGTCAAGATGATATGAGGTACAGACCAAAATCCAATCTTAAACCTCTGAAATTAAGCTTTTTAGAATTATAAACATGTAGAAAACTGAGTTTTTTCAAAAACTAAATACAAAGCTATGCAGCTTACCTCGAATAGGGCCCAGTGCTGCATCCTTTGCTAATGCAGTTAAATCGCTTCCAGAGTATCCATCTGTCATTCTTTGTCAAAGGATAAAATGGTGAAATGAGAAAGAAGAAAAGAAAACCCAGTTCAAGCAATCTCACTTTAATTGCAGATTATTCAGAAGTAGTATTATTTAGACGTTGTTTTGCAAGTTTAGTAAATCAGAAGTGCATTCAACACAAATTATGTAGATTTATGTCTTTTTCCAGGTTAAATTTAAGTACAGATATTCAAGTCCCAAATATCATGCTAGAAAAAGCAAAAAAGATAGCAGCCAACTAGGATTTGTAGGTGAAAATAATCTCAAGCATGTTTACTATTTCTGTTACCACAAGTTTGTCATCGTTTGTCACAGATAAATTTAGAACTGAAAACTCAACTGTCCTGTGCTCTTTCAAGCCTATCAGTACAATGGGAGCCCAATACCACACACATTTATTATGATATGATCACACCACCAGTTTTCTGAATAAAACGATGTGCACTTTTAGCTTACATCAGAGTCTGACAAAGGGCAAAAGCAGGCACTACTAAAAAAAAATAATCTAACAGTAGTGTTTGGTTTTGAAAATAAGGGAGAGTTTTACAGTATACCCTTGACGAAAAGCCATGGTAGCAGTTGACCAGTGGACTCCAGGAAGTACAAAATTCTACTAATTCAGAAGAGTAAACACAAATCTGAAAAGCAGCACTTCTCCGCTTAGCAAGTGACAGGACAGACAGCATTATCTCTGGTGGAAAGCTTCTTTCAGTGTTGAAAGTTTGGCATGAGATAGATTATACTCTCAAAGTACTTAGCAAGCTTCTCAACTCTCAGAACTTACAGTCTGCATTTTAGCAGAGTACTGAAACAGCCTTCTATAGTTCATACATGGAAAATGATCTCTAGCACAGCTAAGTCCGACTCACCAACTGATTCCAACGTTAAAGCCTAAACCTGGAATTGCTAATGAACCAACTGAGGGCCCTGAGATGGCTGCAACAGACTGAGCCACAGCCTCAGCAGTTACTGCAGAAGCCTGAATACTTAACTTCAGATAAGACCTATAATTCAGCTTAGAAATGAAATGCAGTGGACAGGTCCTCATTCAAAAAGAAACAGGTTCTGTAAGTGTGTCTTGCACACACTTCCCATTGAGTTGGGAAATAATATGGTGTAAACGTGGAGGTGTTCTGTAAGTGAACTGAAAGGAAGACAAATTGTGCTATTTACTGGGGTTTGTTTGTTTGCTTATTACAAGACTGGCCAACATACAGATTATCCAAGACCTAAGAACCACAAGGAACTAAAAAAAAAAATCAAATCAAGGATCCAATCTCTATGGGAGCTTTTCCAGAATTAAGACTTCATTTCCAAGTTAATCAATTAAATACTCTGCAGATTAAAAATCTCCATTGAACCAGGAAGCCACCAATACATACTACCAACTTAAGTGGAAAGAAGCACTAAGGGTTACCTAAAGAAAAATTTAGAAACATAGCTCAGTCTTCTGGAGATCATTAATGCTGTTGTAGTTTATAGAATAAGTTGCAGAGGAGCAAAGGAACACAAAATCATGAAAGAGGTTAAATACCTATCTCTTTCCAAACAAAGAAAGATGGCAGGTGAAGCAGGCAGGGCCCTCAACTTTTGTATTTTTTGCTAAATCCTTTAAAAAAAAAAAAAAAGACGTACTTCACTTGTATTTGTAATTTGGTTCATAAATCTGCAGTTAGAATCCAAGACGCTGTCTTTTTCCCTCCAGTTAGTTATTACTGCAGCCTAACTATGGCCTGAACTAGCATCCTTCAAGTACGGAGAGAATTTATTCAGTTAGATTATATATCAAATTTCTGCAACGTTACTAACACCGAGGCTGACAAACCCTACATCCAAGACTGCACTCACCTCCTGCGTACTACCACAAACAGAAACAGAGACTGAAGTACATCCAATTGCATAGTTTTGGTATTTCACACTTCTGTTTTCATTCTTCCCTGTCCTATGTGCTCTACATGCTTTTTAGTCTAACTTCCTTCACACCCATTACATTTATTTTCTGAGGGTGACAAATAGCAGTACTGTGAAAAACATAAAACAATGTCGTTTCATAAAAGAAAGGGCATTTAACCCATATTTTTCCAGTCCAATATGAAACTGAAAAGAATCTAAAATCCAGTGCTTGCTCTGCTATGTTGGTAATACCTACACCAAGCATAGCAAAGGAGAAGGAGAGAAAAGTTGCTTTTGATTTTAAATGCATGCCAAGTGTAAAACTGGTACTGCCTTTTTGCATCAGGGAGGAGAACTGGATTGCCTGGGGCACAGGTGGAGAGGAGTATCCTCCTCCCTCCTCCTCAGAAGGAAAAGCACCCATGAGCATGTTTCAACAACAGAAACCCAGCCAGATGGTGTAGGGAAGAAACAAGTACATACATATAAATATAAGCATATATAAAACACTTTCATGTAGCTTGATAGGAGACCATCTTCCCAAAACGCATGCAATTTATCCTCAGCAAATGTTGTCACTATCTGATGATTTACATTAGTTTTATTTTGAATGAATAAAACAGTCCGAATGAATGCAGTAAATAAGTGTATTTCTTTAGTATAGTTACAAAATACTTACCTAGCTAGTTGTGCCAACTCTTTTTGGGTCAATGGACTTCCTTGCTTGCTTAGAAGATTTTTTAGCAAAATCAACCTCGTCTGAAAAGAAGATACATTTATCAGATGTAAAACTCATTTTCACGGTACATTTAAAATTCTGTTGCAACAACAAAATTACACGTTTGTCAGGTTAGCTTTTGTGCTTCACTAGTTTAAACTTGCCTATAGTGCTTTTGCGATTAGACTGTACACTACACTTCAGGGGAAGAGATTGGGATTTGGTAATAATGAGATCAAGGGTCAAACTACTTCAAGGATAATACATTAGAATCCTCATCAAAAGCCCTAATCTGCTGTTTGAGCTGAAAAACATTACTTCAATAAAGCTACTTTGATCTTTTCCAATAAACACTCTTCTCCAGCCAACTAAACGTGCTCCTGCAAAGCCGACTTCAGACTTGTCCATCCCTGCTAGTATGTAAGGAACAACTCACTAGCAAAGAAATACTGAGTAACTACTACCAGATTTGCTACTAGCACATGCTAAAAAAAAAGTAAATGCAAAAACTTAAGATATTAGCCAGAATTGAAACACAGTGCATATGGCCAAGATGGGCCAGAAATAAATTCACAGAACTGTAAACATCCACTAGGGCAAGTTAAGAAGAGTCTACAAAACGTATTTTATTCTCTTTTTTTAATAAAATTGATTTTAAAATTAACAAAATACATGGAAAATAATACTTACTTCCTCATTTGGTAAAGACACATATACCCGTTTGGTGAATCGTCTTAAAAAAACAAACAAACATATACATATGTACACACACACTTTTGTAACTTTTTAGCACATACAGATCTGACATTTGATTTGATAAATGTCAAAATTTCACTTACATGATCAAATCCTAGGGAATAGGATTTATATGTAGATTAAAAAAAAAACAAAACCAAAACAACAAAAAACCACCCCAAAAGCCCAACAAAGCAGCAATATGCACAAGCAGCCATTGGTGTTGCCTTACTCTTATTTGAAGTTATGAGACTTCTCCCAGAGAGGAAACACTCTAAAGGTAGAAATACCACTAACTACCAGCAACAAAATGAAGCATCTATTCGCTGTACACAAAAAGTCCTTGGAATCATTAAAAATGTGTTTTACTCGTTCAGGCAGCGCTGACATGCCTATTTTCCTCAATGAAGAATGAAGAGAAGCAAGTATGAGAACTTGCAGCAAAAAAGTCCTAAGGCAAATCTAAAGCAAGATCTGTAATTGCATGGGACATCAGAAGTCCAATATTCACAGAGAAGAAATACTGGATTTCACAGGTCAAATTTCCTCCTTCATTTGCCATTAAGATCCAAATAATAAAAAAGCAATATATAAGATGTAAGAGGGTTGTGGAATGTTGACTTGGTCTCAACAGGTATTGCTGTTTAAGACAATTCCAAGGCCACCACCTTTGTCCAGATGTATCCCAAAAGCAAACAGACAGACACCTCTTGGAGAAGTTAAATAATTTAACCCTGCCAAACAGCTTTCACTGTTTATTCCAAAACTTAACCCACAGATTAAGTAGCAAAACCTGCTCTTCATAATGAACATCACAGTATTTGTATTCAAATAAAGGAAGAGACATTTTTGATACCTGAGAACAGCATCATCAAGCTCCTGTGGCCTGTTTGTTGCTCCCATCACAAGTATTCTGTCCTCTCCAGAAGACTGCACCTATATAACATAAGATGATACATAATGTATAAAATGTAGAAAGACAGCTTTTAGTTTACATCAAGTAGTAATACAGCAAAACCTGTTAAAGACTTGTCATGTATTCAGCACACTGATGGGATCTTACTGTATATGTGGAGTTTTTTCCATGCAGTTAGCTGTAAAACATTCTTTAGATAAATGTAAAGTCAAACTAGGAAAACGTAAAAAGAAAAAAATAAGGAATGTAAACACAAGACACTACACCCAAATTGCATTGCTTGAGGAGCCTTGGAAGAGCGCAAATGTTTGTGTGGAATTGCACTTTACGTGTGAGAGAAAACTGAGACTACAAAAAGCAATCAGAAATTTAGCTTTTTAAACATAATTATCTCTGGATGACTAAAGACTTTCTGCTGTTGTGGGTTTTAACACAAAACATTGTTTTGAAGCCTACAGAGAGAATCAGAACTTTCTGCTAACGTAGAGCCAGAACCACTAAATCGGATCAGAGATTGATCGAATATGGGTCTTGCAAGAAGGTAGTGATCAAAATGAGAAGCTGTTCAATAGTGCATAGACACAGTAATTTTCCCCCATAATTCACTCAATTGCAAGACTTGATTTTTATACCCAAGAATATGATTTGAAACCCTCATCCCTCAAGTCTCACTTTATGCCTTGACAGTGCATGATTGTGTGACAGATATCCCTTAAAAAACAAAAAGATACTACTTAAAAGCAATTACATCTTCTTTTACTTTGCCAGAATGAAGAGATGTGCTTCACCAAAGCACGCAAATAAGGATTCCACACTGCCTGACTCTCAAATGTCTCTCATGCCCTCTAAGAACATTTGTTCCCACAGCTCCTTTACTATTGCCATTTGTTATGCTCTCTTCTCTGTCCACAGTCTTTCAACCCATTATTTCAGCTCATTCCCAGATTGCTACCTTTCACCCCAGACTGAATTTTCCAGAATACTACAGTAAGCAGGGGAAAAATTAACAGTAATGGAAAAAAGCTGCTTGCCAAGCAAGGTGCAGGGGTGGGGAGGGAGCTAAGCTAAGGCCCAGCAGCTAAATCCTATTTGTGCTTCATCTGTAGCTTGTACTGGCACCCACTCCATTAGCCAATTCAACTAAATCAAACAATACCCAAGACTAAGTACTTACACCATCAAATTCTATTAAAAATTCTGTTTTTAGACGCCTACTAGCATCATGTTCACCTTCTCGCCTTTCACACAAAAGGCTATCAACTTCATCTGAAAAACAAAGAAATACATCTTAATTAAGCATACAACATTAAAGTCTTCATACTTGCCTAAATCATTTTGCTAATATAGGGCTCCAGTACGAGAGATCAGATCTTTACTCCTTAGGAGACAGACAGATCTTAGTACAGTTTAAAAGCTTGTATAACATGTTGTCCTGTGAATATGTAACACCAAGCACAGATGAGAGGAAAAAAATCCTGCTGATGATAAACTGCAACTCGGGACAAGCAAAACCCAATTTCATCTTTGAAGTTTAATACATAAATGGACTTAGTCTATAAAGGTAGTACAGTATTTGCATTTTTGAGGGCATTTCTTCCCACTATTAACACCAATTAAGTAACACAACAGCAATCTAACATGCTGTCTATGGAATTACTGATTAGCCAGCAGGTCATACCCAAGACGCTTGCTCTACACTGCAGAATTACCCAAAGTAGTTTACCTGATGATTCCAATTTTGTATTTAAGAGAAATATTTAAGCAAATGCACAAAAGTCAACAACGTTTAAGGTCTTACCGATAAAAATTATCGAAGGCTGAAGTTCTCTGGCTACTGCAAATAAAGCACGCACCAGTTTCTCGCCTTCACCCACCTAAAACAACAATAAACTATTTTTGGAGGGGCTTTAGAAAATGTTTATTACAAGAGAGCTAACATAAGGACAACAGAAAATCTTGCTGATAACCAACCCCACTCAGTCCATTCATACACACTGGGATTATCACTAGTTCAGTATTACATATGACAGTATTGTTTATGTCTTAAAAGACACATTGCAAGTTCACTTGCGATCACAAATGAGTTGTTGAAAGATTTTGGTTCCTAAATTATCATAATGAAAGGGAGCTAGGATACACTTAATTTACTTTTTAAAGAAGAAAAAAACCTCACAACCACTCATCTATATGACAGCCAGGGTCATCCTGAACTGCAAAAGCCTTTGACATTGAGTTATCACAAATGCAAAACAATTTATTTTTACATCACATGTCATTTTTTAAGAACTTTATGATCACTATAGGCTAACACTTCACCAAGGATTCATCAGAAGCCTCTGGCTTTATTAAGCCCCAATAATTACAGCATGTGTCCGTTTTCAGATCAATATAATTTACATCTGCTACTTACGTATTTGGAAGTTAGGCTCGCTGCACTTATATTAAAGAAAGTTGCATTTGATTCTGCAGCAACAGCTTTGGCCTAGAAGAGGGGGGGAAAAAACGTACTTTTTAAAACATCACGTTGAAGATACCTCTCCTCTCTGCTTCTGCAGCTGCCACTCGTGTCCTGATTGACAATTTTGACAACCCCTACTCCTTCAAAGAAAACATCTTGCAGATGCTACAGAAAACTTCTCTACAGGCCACTTACAAATAAGAACCAATGAGTGGTCTAATGACTAGAGAAATTTCCAGACTCCCTTAGACTTCTCTAATCACATCATCTCCATAGCCAACCACAACTTGCTTACTGAAGAATACAAGTCTCCAGCTCCTTTCAATGTATCCTGCTAGACATCTCAAACAGTTTTAACTAATTTAGGGTAGCAATTTAGGATAACGGTTGGATCAAATCACATAAAAAATTATGGTGGTTTTTTTCCCATCCATACCCTATCTGTAAAAAAACTGTTTTCAGAGGAAAGCTAGGAAAAAAAAAAAAATCAGTTTAGCTAGATGCTCACACAGAGTACCCTCTTCTTTAACAGGTTCAGCATATTCAAGGAATTATGATTCCCCTGGTTATACACTTTAACTTAAGCAATTAGCAATTATGTTCCACTACGTAGAACATAACAGATTAGGCAAAGTGAGCTGCTCAGCATTCACACTCCTGCACTTCAGAGCTGATCCAGTTTCAGTATCAGCCAAGGGATTGTGCAGCTGCAGCCACGCCATGTGATGCAGGAGGATGTGCCCGGCTCAGCTGCATCAGGACATGCGACGCTCCCTGGCTGATGCACAGCCATTTCCCTCCCCTTCCCTCAACCCAGCACCTCAGGCTGAGAAAACAAGCAGCAGCCAGACAGTTCTACAGCACTTATGCTCCTTGCATAGCACTGTGGAAGTCAGACAACCACAACCCCCCTTCTTGCTACTGTGCTCCTTCCCCATTTCCAAATCGGGCTTCTAATGTATTTTAGTGGACAGCAGACCATTTGTGATTAATCACTGCTGTATACAAACAACTAACCATGTTACTTTTACTCTCTCTGAAAATGAAACTCAGACTCGCCAGTTTAAGTTTCAAAATATTACTGGTGATATTGAAGAAAATTAAATAGAGACCAATTTAGCAATTCCCTCCCCCATAAAATCCCCAGTTAAGAACAACTTTGCATTCTTGTATTAAATGGACACCGTACTACATATCCAAGAAAAATATACAGTTTTATTACAATAACACCCAAACTGGAAGACACCCCTCATGGTTATGTTTTAAGCCCACCAACTCATGCATGAAACAATTTTCTCACCAACATTGTCTTCCCATTTCCTGGTGGGCCAAACAGCAATAATCCACGTGCAGGAGCTCTAAGTCCTGTAAATAACTGAAAAGTACATAATCTTAAGTTATCTTCAAAGAAAATGTTGATTTACTTCCCTAAGAAAATGGTTTAAGAGTGAGAAATGGCTCACTGGCTGGCCCTGGTAGCAACAGAAGCAGTGCTACTCACACAGAGTACCCTCTTCTTTAACAGGTTCAGCATATTCAAGGAATTATGATTCCCCTGGTTATACACTTTAACTTAAGCAATTAGCAATTATGTTCCACTACGTAGAACATAACAGATTAGGCAAAGTGAGCTGCTCAGCATTCACACTCCTGCACTTCAGAGCTGATCCAGTTTCAGTATCAGCCAAGGGATTGTGCAGCTGCAGCCACGCCATGTGATGCAGGAGGATGTGCCCGGCTCAGCTGCATCAGGACATGCGACGCTCCCTGGCTGATGCACAGCCATTTCCCTCCCCTTCCCTCAACCCAGCACCTCAGGCTGAGAAAACAAGCAGCAGCCAGACAGTTCTACAGCACTTATGCTCCTTGCATAGCACTGTGGAAGTCAGACAACCACAACCCCCCTTCTTGCTACTGTGCTCCTTCCCCATTTCCAAATCGGGCTTCTAATGTATTTTAGTGGACAGCAGACCATTTGTGATTAATCACTGCTGTATACAAACAACTAACCATGTTACTTTTACTCTCTCTGAAAATGAAACTCAGACTCGCCAGTTTAAGTTTCAAAATATTACTGGTGATATTGAAGAAAATTAAATAGAGACCAATTTAGCAATTCCCTCCCCCATAAAATCCCCAGTTAAGAACAACTTTGCATTCTTGTATTAAATGGACACCGTACTACATATCCAAGAAAAATATACAGTTTTATTACAATAACACCCAAACTGGAAGACACCCCTCATGGTTATGTTTTAAGCCCACCAACTCATGCATGAAACAATTTTCTCACCAACATTGTCTTCCCATTTCCTGGTGGGCCAAACAGCAATAATCCACGTGCAGGAGCTCTAAGTCCTGTAAATAACTGAAAAGTACATAATCTTAAGTTATCTTCAAAGAAAATGTTGATTTACTTCCCTAAGAAAATGGTTTAAGAGTGAGAAATGGCTCACTGGCTGGCCCTGGTAGCAACAGAAGCAGTGCTACAACAGTACAGGTTTTAAGAGTACTACATTCTATTAGTAACTTGCCCTCATGCATGTCACTATGGCTTCCCACACCACAATTAAATTGCATTATGATCATTCTGTGCATAAAGGCACTGGGAAACAAATACAAAAGGCAGTAATACATTCCTCAAGACAGACCAGCCTAACAAGTTTAAAGCACCAATTCCATTTTAAAAAGGGGAGAAATACACGTGTCTAGTAGGAGTTAAAGCAATGGTCCTACTAACTCCATATGGAAGAACCACTTCATCTTTCTCTCTTTTTTTTTTTCTATTAAACAAAACTTGAGAAGACATGAGCTTTGATTGAAACTATTTAAAATACTACTTAACAACCACCTACTCTCTCTAAATGCTACTGATAATAATCTCCTCCCTCTCACTTTGCATTGGATTCATCTTTCCCACACTACAAAATTGGACACGTCATATGCAGCATCACAACAAGCAAATCTACAAGTTCTCATTAGAGTACAGCTCTTCCAGTTAATCCTGCACCCTGTTTTCCCCAGCATACATTTTTACCACCTTAGGAGATCCAGAGTTCTGTATTTGGCCTCACATGCACCTCCCCTTTCCAGCTTCCAATAATTCCAACAAACAAACAAAAGGAATAACAGGGAATCACTTATATATAACACCACTGTCAGCAGGCACTCCTTCCCACAATATCCATGATAAGAAGTGGCTCCTTTACCAGCGTAGCGTTTTCAAGATGATTGACCACAGCTCAGCCACAACTGCCATTTATCACTGAGACACACTGAGCTTTTAAAGTTTTATTAGCAGACTAATCATACTAAACACGGTGTGAACTAATTGCTACTGTTCTATAAGCATCATACTGATGGAATGGTTGCAGTCGTGTCTCTAGCCAGTGTTTTCTATTAATTCACCTCAATGCTCGCTCTCCTACAGAAATATCATCAATTGGTGTGTTTAAATATGAACTTGACTTCAAAACTTCATTGATTTTAAAACTGAAGTAGTATTTAATTGACTAAATATTGCCCTATAGTTGCTACATCTACCAAGTTAATTTACAAGGAAGAATACCAACCTCTTTTCCTCCAAGGAAAGGTTAAAAATTGACAGGATTCTGTCCTTTGTTATATTCTCAACCTACACCAGGGTCAGGCCCACTGCTAGCTACAGTATTATGAAAAACACCATCTTGAATATATCAGCTATTATTGGAAAAGAGTCATAACTATTCCAAGCCTCACATCTTAAAGTCGTTCCCACCCACCTCATTGTATTAGTGTTGCTGAACAACCAACTTGACATACTAAAGCACTGTAATAAGAGACAATACGATGACGTTTTCCTTCTGCATAAGAATACCAGACCATTTGATGCCAAAGCTTTGTTTTCATCAGGCCTAGTATTCCTGTGATGCCATGCCAGGTTTAGGGTTTCTTACCCACTATGCTTCAAAACCAGAAACTGCATTAAAGGAAAGAGGAAGACCACAGAGAAACTCCAGTCACCCGTCAATGTGACAAAATAAACGCACAAGCAAGTGAAAAAGAAGAAACAGCAATTTTACTTGAATAATCAGCACTGCAGTAAATCATTGCATGCAATTTCTGCCAGGGTCCAGGTTTAGAAAATGACCAATTTAATTTTTTTTTTTTAAGTGCCTCAGAAAACTCCAGTAGTATATAGACCAGACCTGAATCCAGGCAGTCACCAGGTACCACCTCCTAAACAAATAAGTAAGAAATAAATAAAAGCCTAAATGACCAATTTCTACTCAGCCAAGTAAAAAGGAAATCTGGCCTCAACCATTATACACCTCAGTGTATTTGCTTGTTCACTGCCACACTTCTTTGCATCCTCTCCTGCTGTGAATAGACTATTCAGAACGTCTAACCAACATCCACAGAGAACACGATGACAATACCAATTTAGTATTTTTCAAATCAGACAGTGTCACGACTTAATTTACCTATACAAATTTAATCTGTTTCACTCTTCCAATTCTGGGCTTTGCCATCTGGAAGAGTCAGCCCAAGAAATTTTCAGGGGTTTTTATTGTTTTCTTTGGTTTGATTTTTCAGGGGTTTGTGCTTTGATGGGTTTCTTTTTGTTTTGTTTTATTGTTTAAGCTATTGCCTCAGACACTTTTCTCCAACACTGCTTAACCCAAAGACAAGGAACTTCATGGTAATATTTTAACACATAAATTCTTTATTCTCCTTTTCCAGGACAGCTATCAATAGCAATCATAACCAGCAAAGACAGGATTTAAGAATCACCACTTCCCATGTGAAGCACAATACATCTCCTTCATTCTGTCACAGAGTAATAACAAAACCTAGTCACTTACCTCAGGTCTAAGGGAAGGAAGAATAACAATTTCTTGCAAAGCTTGTTTAGCCAGTTCCTGCCCCGCGATATCATCAAATTTGACAGCTGGACCACTAACAAAGAAATGGAATACTAATTAGTCTAACAATGAGATACTCTTTTTCAGCTGCAGCTGACTAATTTAATGCAATTGACTATTTATACAGAACCCTTCTGAGGAAATCTACAACTTGCACTGCTACACATTTAAGAAAATAAGCATTTCCGATCTGAATTTTCATCCTTTTGCTAAAGTAACAGAAAAATCTACCAAAACAACCCACAACAAACTAGAAGTACTAATTTTCATTCCAAGGGTGCAAGACTGTACTGAATGAAAAGCTGGTTTTCTGCATTGAAAAGCCTACTTTTCTTCAGACTTACCTATCAACAATTTCATTCAGGATGAGATTAGCAAGATTACTGTCCACATTTCTAAATATCTTCAAGTCTTTCTTTTTTCGAGGAGCAGTGGTAGGAGTAGAAGGCTTATTTGTCCTGCTATTTTTTGGAGCAGCCTGGAGAGGGGGAGAAAAAAAACAAACAAAAAATACCACAAAAGCCCCCAACTTGATAGTTTTAAAGCATACTGTTAACAAAATTACTTCTACCTTTCATTTGCTCCAGTAAAACCTAATACACTAACACATACCAGATATTCTGATGCTGTATTTTCCTACCAACCATACTATCATATTCACCCACAAGTAGAACATCTCAGACTACAGTGGCGAGGGTATTTTTGGTTTTGTTTGGTTTTTAAAGTTTTTTTGTTGTTGGGTTTGTATTTTGGTGGGTTTTGTTGTTGTTTTGTTTTTTTAAAGATAATTCATTATATTTAACTATGGGATTTTTCCCCAGCATACACTAGAAATAGAGCATCACAAACTGTTTCAGATTCACCATACCTATAAGCAAGAATTTCTACTGCTGTCATACTTTGATAACAGGCCACTTAAAAGCCTTCATGTTATAGCAGCAGCAATGCTTAAGCACTTTTGTGTCCTGTCCACTCTGCTCTTGGTTCTGCTTTACTGTGGGAGTAGCAGTGGGGGAGATAAGGGTGGAAGGGAAAGAGATGGGTCAAAAGAAATGCAGCAAGTTTCTGTCTTATTAATATAGGACTTACTTTTGTATTTAAGTTACAATCTAACCATAATTCGCTTTTCAACGTGGTTGCATTACAACCTGGGCATCATGCTTTGGAAGAGAAGGAACATATTGGGGGAAAATCTGCTGTTCTGGAGTAAAAGGGATTCTTTTCCATCTTTTACATACTGGGAGTAATACTTATTTTTCTCTTAGATAAGCCTTCCCCAGTTTCCCACACAATTTTCAGAACAAGTATTATCATTTATTACTGTGATTACAATTAAAATCCATTTGCCCACGCAGCCACTCAATACCCCCCAATTTCTCAAATCTACTCTGCAGCCTAGCTCAAGAGGCTTGGCCAAAAAATTAGAGGTTTAGGGGTTTTTTGCTACTATGATACTGCAATAAAAGCAGTAAATCCAGTTTGTTCTGGAATTTACATTGATTTTTCCAAGTGTATACTGCTATATTTATTGTCACCATACCTTGTGAGTTGAAGCTACAGGATTAAGTGCTGGTCTAGACACAGAAGATGATGATATCCCACTGTAGCTAGGAGTTCTATGGTGACCTGAAAGGCCTGTAGATCCAGTTTTTGCAACAGTTTTTGAACGAGGAAGGGAATTACTTGTGTGCGTTAAGGGATCCTTCTTTTTTGGAACTGCTCCACTTTCTACAAAGAAAACCAATGTCATGAGAACATTTTCAGCAGTCATACTTTTACCATCAATTCTAGCTTGAAAATAGTATTATTGACACATATAATACAGTATTATAGCAGAAGAATACAAGTTTTTAAAGAGGTTTAGTACTTTTAAGGGGATATTAACTGCAGCTTTCTCCTTAAAGTTAAGTTTTGAATTTTGAGGTCCTGTTACAATGGAAGACCACCATCTATTCCTTAAGACAGAAGATAACAGAACACAACCCAGAAGATTTTTTCTTCCCAAGAACTTCTAAAAATAATTAAAATAATCCCTAAATTTCAAGCCATTGGATTCAGAGCATTCCTTCCTTAACTGATGTTAGCAAGCTAGTTACTTTGGATGCTAGCTAATGCAATCCAGCACCTTCCACACAGAAGCTTCACTAAAGCTCTTCAGTTTGGCAAAATTAAAATAGTTCTACCTGCAAGCAGGTATCAGGTGCTTTTTCTTACAAATTTGTTTCACTTCAGGAATCTTAAGGGGTAAGTAAAAGCTGAATGGACACCTCTGAAGCATTTAAAATTAAAATACTGTATCATTGAATTCAACCACCACCACCCATTCCATTCATACTTGTTCTAACTGACCTCCACAATGGAGTGCGAAGGTCTCAAATCTAGTGACAGATATAACTTAACGTATTGGCCACAGGTGATTAAACTACAAAAGGCCTTTTTATCCAGAGTAAGTGAAATAGCACTGGATTTCTACATTCTCCATATGGGATACATGATAAAATAAGGTTCCTTGGCACAGAAATAGCAAGTATAAACCATCAAAATAGAGTCTAAGAGGTAAGAAAGTCCTAAAGCAAGTGTGCAGGTTTGTCAGGCTGGTTAACAATTAGAGCACAGCATCAGATTGGGATATTTTTGTGGTGAGAATACAGTACTGCAAGATGTCTAGTAAAGTACTGTTTTCTGCAATGAAACCTGTAAACACTGCATTATTTTATATCCTTTCAAAAGGATGAAGGAGTTTTTGATTACATAAGAAAAATAGAGCAGAGGTAAGGAAGCTCAAGGTTTCAGCCACAAGTTTCTTCACCAGGATTTTAGAAATCTGCAATTCCGTTTGTCTTGTTGTTATTAAGCAACGGGCCAAATAACTCTGATTTTTAAGGAAGGTAATGATTCTGTGAATAATTTTTAATATTGCAGTTCTGTGAAAAATACCTTAAGTAGAAAGCCTCATAATTCTGAATGTTGTGTTTAAAAAAATTCAAGTAACACTTCAGTGAAACAGTATCATGGAAGGATTAATTAATTACTACCTCGTTCTCAGCCTCTTTAAACATAAAAATCTTGCATACTACAAATCTTTACACAACCTGCAGTTATCCAGGTGTTGAACTACTTGGCTAACAAGCTTCTAAAGCCTTTCTTCAGTCCCAAATCTACCCTTTTAGAGACACAGAAACTCTCCAGGGGCCATCACAAAAATGCAGATGTTATCAATACGCAAAAATGAAGGAAACAAAGAATATAATTAACTACATTTACCTCTAAGACATTTGTTGTTAAAAACAAACAAAACAACAACAAAGCCCCAACCCAAAACTGGCTACTGACTAACTCACACACAGATTCAGAGCTGGTTAAATTACTTAGTCATTCTTGCACAGGAATTTCCAAGTCAAAAATTCTTCATAATTAGGCATACTTAGTAACTTTCAAACTCAAAAAGCAGCTACTCAACACTTTGGTCAAATTTAATCAAAAGGTGGCATGCAGTTTGGTTGTTCATTTTGGTTTCTTGGTTTTTTTTCCTTCAGCTTCATTTGCACAGTTGGCTTAAAGTCAACATGGGAAGGATTCAAAAAGCCAAAGGAGTTACTCTCCATCTCCTTCACCCTAACGTGTTGCTCAGTTGTCACACTCTTCCCATCTACTGAGAATGATACACACACATTGCAATTTTGAGCATCATAAAATTGCACAGGTAAGGAGTACTTCAGGAAGCTGGAAATATAGGAGGGAAAGGAAAAAGAGAAAGGTTTAAATACAAATTACTATTTACTCTAGCTGTACCTCCATGAATCAAGACCACTAAGTTTACCTATGTTCTGTGGTCGGTCCTGATGGGTAGCACAGAAGGAAGCACTGATAAATTTGCTTTTTAACATAGTTTTTCAGTGTCAACTCTAGAGGGAAACTTCATTTTATATAAGAATTTTCATTTGAGAATAAAAATGTGATCAAACTTTTCAGAATTGCAGTTCACGTTACAGTTTCATCTAAGGTTCACCTATTTCTAAAGCATGAAGTGTTTGAGACCACATGTATGTCACTTGTCAGACTGATAGCCCCTACTGTTTCTTTACGTAAAATACATATTTTGCTGTAACAAAAGCAAAAACTCCAAAATGCATTTCTTACCCATATGTATTTATCATCTGCTGAAAGACTGAAAATGTGCTGCAAGTGGCCTTAAAGCCTTTGTAGTATCTCCATTAGCCTTTTGCCAAATGTTTCCCCATTCTGTATAAAACAGTAAGGAAGTGCCTAGAATATGTTCTAATCACAAAGAGAGACTGTGGCGTTTTTTCAAGTGCATTTGAAACACTGAACAATTCAATTGTCTACTTCACATATACTTACAGGATACTAATAGGGGCTTGACCATTTTGATTTTACTCTCTAATTCTTGACTGGACAGAATAATTTACTTTAAAGCTCCAAGCTAATGCCACTAGATCATACAGAAATAATAACTATCTAGTCCTGAAAGCATCCTGCAGTTTTAATCTGATATCCAAATACATACACAACAAACAAAGAGCAAAATTTTGTCTGAGGTTCTATTGATTAAATTGGGATAAGCTGCAGATACAGGCGCCCAATTTCAGACTCCTTTACAAAAAGAAATGTTAAAAATGCATTTATTATAAAGATTTTAAAGATAAAGATAAAGTGAAGCAAGGATATGTTTAAACAACTTTAAGCTTGATCATACTACAATCTGGGAAACATGCAGCTCTAGCTTATTTATCTAATAAAGATAAAAGCATGCTTTGTATTTCTAAAAAGCAAATAAATTGTATTTTCCCTTATGCATGTAAAACAGATTAAAGCACATGTTAATAAACAAGTTTCTGCTGTTTTATAACTTGTTAAGGATTAAAAAAAAAAGGTTAAATTAACAGCAGCATTTCCAGTATTGCAGAACAGTTTCCAGCCTTTAGTTGTGAAACCTTAAAAATTACTCAGAAATTCGTTACATAAGCCTGTTGATAACTGATATAAAGTGACTATGAGAAGTTATTACATGTGGTCTGTGGACCTCAGGTTGGAAAAAAAAATAAATCACCAGTCTAGAATTGTCTGTAACTTTATGTATATATATAAAAAAATAATCTTTACCCTGCTCAGCTATACATTTTCTGCAAATATTGTATAAAAAAAATACATGCAGCAATAGCAACACTGATAGTTATTCAGGATCATCACTCACAATAGCCCCCAAAATAGTAATTCCTTCAAAGCTTATATTCCGATTTTTCAAATAGGTGGATTCAAGTAATAAAAGTGACCTAACAGAAAGCTTCAGCAACTAACAAGTTCCATGTCTTGAATGGTAGCACAGCTACACAGATCAGTTGTTTTCCTTTCTGAATTGACAGAGCCATGTCACTCAAAGACCTACCATTCCTAAATTATGTTTTTTAAAATGATCTTACTGCTACTGGTTCTTCTAGTTGGGTAACTCCTTAAAAAACTTAAGCATTAAGAACAGAATTTTTGCAACTTGAAAAATGTTGCCAATATATGCCTACTATTAAAGATATGCCAGCAAATCCATCTAAGTGAAAAATGAGATAAAATACTAGCTACTTGCACAGTGCTAATGTTGTGGTAAGAAAAGAAAAATTTATTACCTTCTCTGATCATGTATCGTGCTGAGATTTACATGTTAAGTGTAAAATGGTACACTGAAATTACTGTAATGCTATCAATATTGCATGCTCAGTAAATAAGTTCATAAAACTCATAGACACTGCCTTTGGCAAGATCAGCATAATCTCCTTCCCAAGTTAGTTTAAAAACAAAAAACACGACTACACAACTGTAACTGAAAGGCAGGTGATACTGCTGTAACCAGGTCTTATAAAGTCTCATTATAAATCTATCAGATAAATTTTCAAGAAATATCTCCATCTATTCAGGTAAGTTCAGAAATGATGAATGAGGAAGACAGGGATAGATAAATTGGACTTAAAGGCTGACACAAACAATACCTTGAAAGAAGGAAGAATCTCAAATCATTAACATTTGGAAATATAAAAAATGCACAGTATAGATGTGACAATAGACTACGAGACAGAATTAAGAAGCAAAAAGATCTTTAAAGACTTTAAGGCCTTTAAAGCAAATGAAAGAAAGCAAAGCACTTTTTGGCCAAAGAATGGGCAAAAAGGCATTTTCTTGATGTTAAAACTATGAAAGCATGTTTCACACTTTATAAGAGCCTGGGCTTCTAAAAAGCCCAGCCTGATTAGGCAAAAGCACAGGTAATAGCTTATGTAGAGAGAAAAATGAGGCTTATGCCAGACCCTTGTGGCTCAGTACCTCTGCACTACCTCTACTTTTTCAGTACCAGCAGTCCTCTGTCTCAAGTGGGCTGTAAGCTGATTTTGTACAGTTTCCCAAGAATGTCACCTACTTTGTGTTTTTAAATGACTGCAGCTGTCCATGTGAAAATACTGTCTTTATTACAACATGTATAAAGGAAGTACTTTTAAGAAAAAAGTGTAGCACTAATGTGTTCTTGCAAACAAGACTCCCTCCCCCTGCACCCTAAAAAGAGAGACAGAGAGAGCGTGAGAGCGAGCATGCGAGCACAGGCACCAGCCAATTAAGAAATTCAGACATCAGTTAATGGGCTGACTTTCCTGATACTATCAGGGACGCCACAGCTGCAGGAGAAGTTCACTACTTTGGGTAAACCTCTAACTTCCACATGTTATGAATCCAGAGTTTACCTTTGGCAATGTAAATGCAAATAGAGATGGAACAAGCCTCTTAAAGCCTAGTTCAAAGTAATCAGTAGATGCCTGGTACCTAACTCTTTTTTATGACCTCCTCTGTAGTCCTGTCTCTTCTCAGATCCCACTGAGCCTGGTAAATGAAAGTTTCTCCATTAGCCCACATTCCTTTTCAGAAAGTCGAAGACACTTTCTCAGAAAAAATCACCCCCAGGAGAAGACAGCCCTTTGCAGTTGTTTCGCTGCCCTTTCCTCCTACAGTTTTGCAAAAGTGGTTCTGTCATCCATCTTCTGTAAATCTCCAGGAATATGACTCCAAATAGATAAATCAACTAATACCAATTTCCACAAGTTTACCAACAGTGACCACCACCTGCTACAGGAACTTCTGTAAATAAAAACACCTGCTACGGAACTGGCAAAGCATTTCTTCATTTCCAGAAGCTGCCAATGGACATTCTATGCTTTGTTATAACAGACTTAAGCAAATTTACAGTTTCAAGAGTGGAAGTTCAGTCTAACCTTCTCCTGCAGCACCCAATTCCAAGACAGGTCAAGAAAGAGGAACAAAAACATATAAATGAAAGAATTTAAAGAAAAAGCTGTTCATAGTGAATCAGATGGAGCATGTTAGCAATTTTTGTGTGTATATGCATGTATTTGCTCATTCAGCCTCCAGCCAAGCAGGTAAAAAGACAAGAGTTGTACTGGATCATTTAATGCAGAGAGTTTTCAAGCTCAATCTACATAGAAACTTATACTGAAGAGCCATTTTAACTCATTTTTTGACAAATGCAGTTCACAAAAATACCACACATGCAGTAATCCAGAGATACCTAACATGACATAGTTCTACTACTTTACTTTCTCATACATTAGAAAGAATAAAACCAAACAGTAAGATGACTTCAGAACTAGAAATGGAGCTAAAAAAAAAAGCATTTTTACACTAACTTTAAAGTTTAGCTACTTTAAAAACTGAATAGTGCTCTTGACTCTGTAGACAAACTTTATGAATTCCACTGCTTGTAGGTCTCTATTTTATTTAACTTCATTGTAGTCTCCTGTACAAATTATCAGTTGAGATCACAGTTGTGATGATAGCTTACCGCTCCCTTAAAACATTCCCTGAAGACAATTCACAAATCTCACAGTAACTTTACTCCCTGCATACAGGCAAACAAGTTTACTTCTAGTATTTTAGTATCCCTGGTGCAGACTTCTGGGAAAGGATAAAAAGAACCTTCTTTGACAAAAAGCAAGAGCTGTTTTTTTTCTTCCCGTTTTAATCATGTATCACTTTCTCAGAGTAAAAACCCCTGGAATTTACAGCAGCTGAATGCAAATGCACATTCACTCTCACAATATCATAAAGGAAGAGCTACTTATGTAGGCACAATATATAACCTACATATCCTACACTGACTTTGACACCTAAACCAGGTTTAATTCCTTTAAGAATATAACAGGAGAAATATCTTCTAAAACATTGTCTTAGTAAATAGTTTTGCATCCTAGGACAGTCATCTTAGGAGAGAACTGAATACTACAAAACCAAAGTGTTATCATAGTCATAGAAAGGATGGAATGTATTTTATATAAAGACTTTAAAAACAGAAATATAAAACAATTCTTTTTTCAAGTTGGTGGGGCCAGAACACAGCATCGCGTATTTTTCCCTGTAATACACCAGAAACTGAGAGACATCCCCTCAATAGGCGCTGGTAAAACCAAACCCACCTGACTGGAGATGTCCATTGCGGCATGCCAGGTTAGTACTGTCATTATAGACCTCCGTTTGCGGCTTGGAAATTTGCAAAACTGCCTGCAGCTTCTCTACATAGTAGACAGAGGGGGAGGGAGGAAAAAGGACAAAATAAACAAACAAAAAATAAAAATGAACCAAGAAAATTTATGTATGTTGAATACACAAATGTCAAGTTCGGCTTTGTTATACTCAATACAGGGCTAAAGATAAAAGGAGTATTTCTATCTGTTCTACATGTTTAGCAAATTTTTAAGAAAATTCTGTCAGTATGAGCATGACTGAAAACAGCTTTAAAACTAGCCATTTAGGGCTGAGTTAATTACAATGATCTTTCCAGTTAAGTGATTGTAGTTCCTTCCCAAAATCAACGGTCAGGATAAATTCAACTTTATCTACTAAATATTTGTGTTGATAAACCATTTCTGAAAGTCCTCCTCAAGGTGTTACTTTTGACCGACTGCAAGTTATCACTTTCCTGCATATTAAATGTTTCACTGAAGTAGTAACAGCTAGTCAAGATTTTACAGAAACCTCAACTGTTCAAGCAAAACACCATATATACATTACGATGATGTCTTTCAAGATCTCTATTTAGAAATATAATTGCCTTGAGCTCAAGTCAATAAAATTCTCATCCAAACTGTGTTCTTTAAGAGGATTAACTTCGGAAACATCTGAATATAAGATTTATAAGGTTAAAGATTAAGGAGAAAGAAATTAAGAGGTCATGATAAACTAGCCAAAGCGTTAGTCAAAGAGGTTTAAGACTGCAAATGACACAAAGCAACAATTAAGTCTCAGGACTATTTGCTCTCTGCAGCTCACCTACCATTCCTGCTTTTCCCACTGCAGTTAAAAGCCTCTATGCCTTACTTCTGGGGCACGTTACAACTTATCCCACCTTTATTTCACACACACCCCTCCACCCCTTTTTTATAGAAGTGAAACATGTTTTGTAAGGACACAACACATACACTGTCACACTCCTACACCACCCCCTTTTTTTTCTCCCCTCTCTCAAGAGGTAATAGTGCCAAGAAGCTGCAGGAAACAAGTGGACAAGTAGAGAAGCAATGTCCTCTGCACATGACAGCACATACTGCAAAAAACCCAAATTCTACTGAAAATGTGCATGGCCAAGATCATAACTGCCCTGACTGGAGGGAGAACTGTCATTCAGAGTTTGCAAATCATACAACCAACAAGCCTAAACACCTCCCTCCTTCCATTTATTTGTCTATTACAGATCTTTTTTTCCAGTCTTTCTGCTTCATTCCTTTCTTCTGCCTGTTCCTGACCACTCACCTCGTAGCTTCCCTGAAAAGTATCTTTACACTCAATAGTTTAAGTGATAGTTTAATAATAATATCCAGACTGAACAAGACACAGTTTAGAGCGAAAACTTAGTAGCCACAGGCACATATGAAAAGCTAAAGTTCAAGATCAGTATGTGCACCCAGGGTTTACTTCATTTTAAATTGAAAGCATTGAAGAGTCGAGTACAGTAAAACAACAAAATGTTAGCCACAGAGAACAGCCCACAACCAACCACAAGTTTTGTATAACATGCAAGAAGTTACTCTAAGAAACCTCCTTCTAAAGAAGTCTAAGAGAAGCCCTTTTAGTGTTACTGACCACAAGCCCAGCGTACCATTGCAGTGGGCACAGCACAGCACTACTGATGGAGAAAGCACAACAAGTCTCCTCCCTGCCCAGTGTGTGCAATCCGAATGGGAAGTACATAGAGAAGCTCAGGAAACAACACCAGTAATAGCAGACTCAGTAAGATATTAGATAATCAGTTAAGTTTTGGAGAATTTTCTGGACTTTACAAAAAACCCCAACACTTTCTAGCGAGTGACCACAATAAAATAACTTGGCTTGGGCAGGAATTTAGAAAATGCCATTTGCTTCAACACTAGAGTCAGAGATTGGGGTTTTACCACAATTATCAATGGCTTAGCGAGTTCCACACATTCAGGAACTCCAAAACCCCAACACAAAAACTTAATCCAACTGTTGTCCAGTCTCAGTTCACATCACCTTACATATTACTATGTAATTTTAATATTGCACATAAAATTACGTAAAGCAACCACACCTCTTCAGAGACAGTGTAGATGTAGAGTCCTTTGGAATAATGAAAATAAATTGAGCTATTAAATATTATTCCAGGGAATTAATAGGACACTATCACCTTGCATTTGAATGCTTTCTCCGTATGCCTCCAGACATTGTGGTGGGGGGGTGAAGTGTACAGAAACTCATTATTTCTCCTTGATGATACAACATTGACATAAACCTAACAAATAAACACCACTGCAGCTATTGTCTTATTCAGGCAACACTAGACCTTGATCTAATAAAAAAAATAACCAAATAAGCATTACCCTGCAATACAAGCCTGAAGCAAAAACATCATCACCTCCAAGAAAGTGGAAGAATCCCAAAAGATGTCATTGAAGTCCGTATCTATACACAGGCAGAATTATTATCAAAGAGGATACTGCTGAATTATATTTGAATTATGTACCATGTGTTCTTCAACCAAACTACTGAAGCTATACATAGTACACAGAAAGGCACTTATGCTGATAGAAATCTGTCCCCCTACAGAAAGTCTCTCTGAAGCAGGAGAACACAAATTGGTACAAGAAACGCATAGCGCTAGAATTGAATAGTGTTGTAGTAGACATTGCAGTTTTCTGCCTTTAGGAATGGCAAACTGCTGACTATCATGTATCAATTTTAGAAAACAAATATCCTCCTATGATTCTAAATATATCAAATATAATGATTCTAGCATGGGTGATCAGTCATCCAGGAGAGATCAGGTCTATGAAGACCATCAGGGCAAGATTTATCCACCCATCTAAATAACTGCACAACTGACACATCCTAAACTGTGTCAAGAACAGGAGTCATCACCAATTCAAATGGTATAACTTGAAGTCCCCTGACAGCTAGCACAACTCAATATTGTCACAGGACTGCCAAAGTGGTCGAGTCACCTTGGGGTGCTCTGGAGTAACTTCAGTTTTCAGCCTGAAGTACAACTTTAAATGGAATATGATACAGTAATTTAGAGTTGAGATGAAAACTGGGCTCAAAATAGTAAGGCCATCACCCAATTAAGTAGCTACAAGCTCTTGGTCAACGTTAAAAGGCATCAGTGCTGTGATGACACATGGGTGTGATCAGATACACTTCCATCAGTGGTGTAAATATGCAGTCTGCAATCACATCTCTGTCTAGCAAGCAGGATGAAATATGTGATGTTACTGTCTACTTTAAGTCTGGTTTATCCTGCCAGCTAACACAAGGGACTTGCCTACTCTCTCTTAAGCAATGGAGAAATGGTCTTAAGAGTTAGATTCATAGGAAAAGAAGGAAGAAAAAAAAAAAAAAAAAAAAAAAAAAAAATCATTTTTTTGAACCAAAAAGCCTCCAAAAAACTATGGTTTTCAAGCAGGATGAAATATGTGATGTTACTGTCTACTTTAAGTCTGGTTTATCCTGCCAGCTAACACAAGGGACTTGCCTACTCTCTCTTAAGCAATGGAGAAATGGTCTTAAGAGTTAGATTCATAGGAAAAGAAGGAAAAAAAAAAAAAAAAAAAATAAAAAAAAAATCACTTTTTTGAACCTCAAGAGCTTCAAGAACCTCAGGTTTAGTTCAACTACAAAAGCATCTCTACACCACTTTAAAACTTCAAACTATCCAGTACTCTAACTTACAGGCTAAAAGCTATGTTTAGAACTGCACGTGCAAGTGCATAATTTCCACAAAATCCATGTAAAATTACATATAAAGTAATAAAAGCAGATGCTGTCAATACCTGAAAGTTGGTTCGATGGTATAACAAATATTATTCAAATAGATGGATAATGATCAAGTTTGCAGGGATATAAATCTATTGGAATATCTCTCCAAACAACATCTTTTTCCTTCCCAAAAGGGCAAATGACTTTACTTGCTCCTTTCTATCCAGATTTTGCTCTCAGGCACTTTTCTTCGATGCGGATCCTTAGTGCAAACTGAGCAAGAACCTAAGTAGAATAAAGTACTAAGCTTCCAATAATTTCAAACTACAAATAAAATAAAATCATATTTGACATCAACTTATGAAATAACCACTATTCTATCTGTTCACCTTTCGATCTGCACTCTGAATGATGCATATAAATAGCATGTGATCACCCATTCTGGTAGTAGAAATAAATGCACCAGCTTGACTTCAACTTTAGGTTTTTTGCAACATTCATCCTTTTTATGCTTTCAAACAGAGCACAGCAAGTAAGCAACTTATCAATATTGCAAGTGCTGCTATAGTGACAAAAGCAAGGATGAAACACTACCCACAAAACACTGACATTGCTATGCCAAGGTTCAAAGAACAGCAAGTTTTTTCAAGAAATCCTAGTTACTTGCAATTAGGATGTCAGCAACAAGCCAAATCTTATTAAAAAAAAAAAAAAAAAAAAAAAAAAAAAAAAAAAAAAAAAAAAAAGAACTAAGGACACCAGGAACTCAAGGGAAACAAAAGGAATTCACCTTCTTGCGGTTGCCACGACTTCCCTGTCAATCCCCACTTAGGACCACAGAATCACAAATGTTAAGAGGAGAAAAGAACATGAGCTTTCCTGTCTGCTCTATATGCTCCGAGGAGAGGGAGCTAGTATAACTCAGAACAACACAGTGCAAGATTAAAGCTGCAGACACACAAATTAAACTCAAATACATTTGTTAGCTCTCTCTTAGAGAGGAACTACAAAAACCAACCAAACAAAAACAAACAAAAACCCCCAACATTTACTTTTCATTTTACTGCCTGAACTGAAAGCATTTCCAAAATTCTCAGTTTAGAGGATGTACTACACAAAGCTGTGGGTTTGTTGCTTGATGGGACTCTTTGTTTATCATGCACAGTAAGATGCCATTTCCAATCCTGCCTCTTTTACTCCATCCATTAAGAGCTTATATGCAACACTTGATTTTGATAAAGATAAAACGATACAACACTATGCTTCTGAAAAGAAGCAGTCTTACCTACTAGTCTTAAAATAGAACACTACTAGATAAAAATAATAAGAATTGGGATTTCACAACCTTATGGCCTACATAATGCTAAAGAATTATTATTACAGCACCTACCAATAATCAGGAAAATTGTTATATAAGTGACAGCAGAATTAACACAACTTGAAGTAGTTACACATACAGACGGCACATGTAGCATTCACGATCAGCAAGATATTATACATTTTACTACAGTTTTAACACAGAAATCCTAAACTAACTCCAACAAGAGTTAGTCAAGACTTCCTCAGTTTGAGTCAAGCATGCCATGATATAAAGACTTCTCAGTTACTTTTACACCAATTTCTTATGGGGTAGGGAAGGGGATGATGAGATTCCAATTTCAAAATCCATCAACACAATTGAAGAAGTATTACTCTCAACTAAAAACTAAGTTTAAGAGACCTTACACAAACAATGACTCCTTCACCTTAAAAATCAAAGTAGTATTTTAGAAGAAAGCATTACATGAAGTTGTGCAAAAAATGACATAATTTCCAAAGTCATGAATTGTAACTGGTACCTAAAAGCTGCAAGCGATCCTTGGCCATTGCCAAATTTGTCATCATTTTAGACTGCAGACGTCGAGCCCGTTCACACTGCTCACCTTACAAAGAAAAATCAATGTTAACACACAATTTGGCAAATTAACTTTTTTAAGTGCTAAAATACTGACACCCCAGCCTTCCCTCTTCTTCCTCCCACCCCTTACCTACTCCCTCCACTAAGGAACATTGTTGCAAAACTAATGAAAAAAGTCTTAAAGCTTTCTATTTAATCACAGAATTTAATCTACTTAATCAAGAATTTAAAGTTATTTGACACTATCTGCTTTAAAATATTGCTCATAGAGTGGTGGGAACCCAAGCACTGCTTTGCATATTCTCTATTCACGCTGACCCAATATGTTTTCTTTGCCACTGTATTTTTCTAAACAGAAGTCAAATAAAAAAGAATTTTAAAAAGCTTGAAAAGTGACTGAGAGGCAAGTACAATTTGAAATAACTCACTTCAGCAAAATTAACATATTTCAATTCAGTTGACTGTGTCCCTTTACATTTCAAAACACACTGAATTACAGACATTAATATCACCACTTCCTAAAAAATAATGTCTGCTAAAGTCAAGTTTGTTTTATTTAAACTGTGCCATTTAGACGGGTTGTATCAAATGCCACTGGTGTTGCTGCTTAAGTAACATGTCACCATATGCTGATATACTGTTCACAAATATTTCTAACTATAGCTGAGGAACAGAACAGTAGTCTGCAAAAGCAGTTACAGGTTTGGGTTTTTTTTGTGGGTTGGGTTATTATTATATTATTTTGAGGACAGAAATTCTTAGCAAGTCCTTCACCACACCTGTTTTTCTATGGTACATGGCTGCTTCTACACTACAGCTTAAAATGTTGCCATAGACACAGATGGCTTTCTTCCTTTGTTGGAAGTTTTCAGCTATTTTGGCACAAGCCAAAACACAATGCTAGACCATTCCAAATTGGGAGGTTTCTTTTTCAGTTATGCAGAATTTGATATTCCCTTCAGTATAAGTGAGAACACGAGCTGTCAACTTTGGCAAATCAAATGAGAACTCAATATTTTGGCATTCCTGTTACATAAGAAATCAAGTGTTTTAGTTTAGAATGTTCATTAACTGCTTACAATTTTGGACAGTCTGAAAATATTTGGAGCCAGATTTGCACGTGTTATAGACCAGAACATTAAGGCAGAACAGACAAGTGGACCAGTGCTCTCCTATAGCTAAAATAAGAATAAGAAGCACTCCTATGAACGCATACAGCAGACCATTCCTGGCACCTACCATATTTAGCAATATTGATTCCTCACTTTGAAGAAGCCATACACCAAAATCTTTTCCACAAAACTCAAAACTGGCTTACCTTGACCAATTACTAAGACAGCTATTCCTTTTTCCAGTTCTTCAATTCCTTTCTTATACCATTCAACAGCTTGTTCCTTTTGTCCTGCTTAAAAAGGAAGTGAACCCATTATTTTCTGTTATGAATTAAAGCTTAGGAATGGTTCCATATAACACTACTAAAACATGTAAGGGGAAGGAAGAGATATTTGAACAAACTCCTATGATTTAAAGAAACACTTAAAGGGACACTGTCAACTTGGTATCTACTTAGTTTCAAATAAGCTTTTCTATTAAACACAGGTACTACACCAGCCTCAAATCACTTTTGCCTGTTTTAGGAATACTTCTCCATCTGCCTTAAAGAGATCAATCCCCTGGAAAACAAAACAAAACAAAACAAACAACCCACCACCAAAAGAAAGGTAAAAAAGCTAGCCTACCCACATACTCATTCACAACAGAAATGGTGAAATTAACAGTTTCTTTCTGGTGATCATCTTCCAGTGATATTCAACACCGAAGTAACACTAGAAGCACAGACACTGAAGAAGAAAAGCAAGGAGTGTAAGATACTACACAAGTGAGAAGGGAGACATTTTCTCAGGTTCACTTTTATACGGAGCAGCTCATTTGTCACGGGGGTATTTCTTTGTTCACCTTATCATGAAACTGCTGGATTGCAGGTGTACGTCAGCTTTCACATGAAGCTCAGTACATGCAGAATTAGAGTACACCTCTGCACCAATAATGCCCTAAATGGACAGTACAGCAAATACAACCATGAACGTGCCTATGGCCAACCTATGCTATCTGACGCCATGGCAGTGAATAACCCATTGAAGAGATATTCACATCTACTTCATACTGCTCCCCTTCTATAAATACTCCGCATTGAAAACATACTTGCCTGCATATGGAAACATACTTTTGCAAGGTAGGTATGTCACACTACGCATGCCTTTCCATGCAGGAATACTGCACATTACCTATTACAATTTAAACCTGATTAGCAATAACAAGCTGCTAGTGCTAGGAAAAACAAAAATGCCTAGATGAAACCTTCAGATATCACTACGCTAGTTTCAAAAAGGATAACGTTTCACAAAACTATTCCTAAGTGCCAGTTACCAGCGATTGTGTTGCTTCTGCACTCAGATCTTTTGATAACTTCAGTCCCAAACCTATTTTCTAGCAAATTTTAGTGCCAGTGAAAATATTTCAGTGCATTTCTAGAATCCTTTTAGAGGTTTTCTCTTGCTCCTCTCCAGATGCAAAATCTTTTAGTAACGTTTGGCAAGTTACCCTGTGCAGGCTATTCCACACTTTGTTCTTACTGACACAAACCACAGGAGCAGCACCTCCCTACAGTCGTGTACATCACACACTTCAGGAATCGTTTTATCACTGTGCTTTCTCCACCAGCTTCGTCTATCTGGACTGTTAAGGACAAAGCTAGATAAATTAAATCACTGAAGCTGAGTGACTCTGATCCTCTCTGTAGCCTTTTTTCTTTAAGCTTCTTCCCATCATCTATAGAAACAGTTTGAACTGCAGTGTAAATCTAATGCTGATTATGGCTATTAGAAATCAAACTTAAGGTGATTCCATCCACCTCTGCTACCACCCGAATTGTTTTGCTATTCTGAAGAGCAGTTACAAGCATACCAAGGTCATCATTAAGATCTCACTTCCACCTTTTAACTGGAGAAGCTCTAAAAGCAATATACCAAACAACTGTTTGCAAAGACAGTGCTCCGAGTCTGCACAGAACAGTTTATGAGTTCTCAGTGATTAAGACATTAAAAGTACAATTTAAAAAAAAAAAGACACGTTCCTTAGAAGCCATTGAATTGCTGTACTGGATCTGGCTGGGATGGCGTTAACGATCTTCAGAGCAGCCCCTGTGGTACTAAGGTCTGGATTTGTGACTAAAACAGTGTTGATAACACAGCATTGTTTTGGCTATTGTTGTACAGCTCCCACAGCCTCACGGGTTTCTTTCCCCCATTCTTGATCCCCAGCGAGTAGGCTGGTAATGCTGGTGATGCACGAGAAGTTAAGACAGGGCACTGGCAGGATGGCTGACCCAAACTGGCCAAAGGGATATTCCATATCTTATCATGCCCAGCAGTAACAACTTGGGTAGAGGAAGAAGAAGGCGGGGGCTGTCTCCCAAGGCAGGCATTGCTCAGGAACTGGCTGGGCATTGGTAAGCTGTTACCTCTGCGCCACTTGTCTTCCCCACCTCTTTCCTGCACTTGTTAACACGTCTTTAATGCTGAACCACAAGTTCTGTCGCTTTTGCTTTTCCTCCTCTCTCCCCTGTCCCACTGAGGGGAGTAAACAAGCAGCTGTGTGGGTGCTTAGCTGCTGGCTGGGCTCAACTCAGCACATGCACCTTCTCAGTCCCAGGAAAAGATGTTAAGCTTGATTTTGAAAATACCCAAACAAGAATATTAATTCAGAAAAAATTCAGAAGCCAAAAATTACCAGAGGCGCTACTGTAATTACGGAAGCATGCATAGCTTCCAGAACAGCAAAACTGCCACATAATTAACAGGATAGTAGACAATCCAGAAATCCCAACCATTTCACATATTAAACCTAGTAAATTGTTTTCTGCTAGAAGTTACAAAAAAACACTAGTTTATATATCAGATAAATTCAAAGGTATGCCGGGACTCAATCTCTAGAGGTCCCTTCCAACACTGACAATTCTGTGATTCTGACTCCAGCAAAAACAGATAAGCAAGAAATGTCTGACCTGTGCAGCTAGTTCATATATGACAACTCTGAAAATATCTACAAATCAAGCCCATGATTAAAATCGGGATTTGAAGGCTTACCCTTCAAACCAGCCAACAGTTACAAGCCACAACAATGGAACAGGCACCTGCTAATTTTAGACTTAGCAACTCTCCACAGAGCAATCATCAAGAACACTGAAGTTTTAAGCCAGAGGTACCTTCTTTCATGCTTTGCTCCTGTGACCCTCAGTGCTCTTATGCTCTACATCTGTTCTCCACTAACCTTGCTGCACCGGGTGGGATTTTTTTCTCCAGAGGTCACAGCTGCCACTCCCAAACTGTCAATGCAAAGCAAGACACATCCCTCGCTTTTACGGTGCTCTCAGCAGGCAGCTTCCACTGAAGGCTGTTCCTACATTTTGGACTTTCTCTTCTAGGATGGGAGTTTCACTAAAGCTCAACTGAAAGGGCATAATGCCTCATTCTGGTGTTTCCAGAGAATTTTAAAACCCAGCACAGCATACCCTTAAAGACTACCTTGAGGATGCTGACAGGAGTTGTGCTGCTGTGTTTAGATTAAATGGCTAAATCAAACGCACCAGCAACTGCTTAATTGATTTAAAAAAATCCTCTATACAGGAAAAAATAACTTCCTCACTCCTGTGTCTTATTTAATTGAACGCTTAACATCTTCTAGTCACATAGTGATACCTTTTGTAATAAATTACGCATGTTAAGCAGTTTAAGAGAATTAGTTTTTAAAAGCAACTGCTAAAATATGAATAAATATTTATTTCCTTAAAAGTCCGGTGACTCCAAACGGGCCGTTTGGGGGCCGAGTTTCCCGAAGACTCACTTCAAGGCTCGCAGCGCCTGCGGGGCAGCGCCGGGGAGGATGCGCCCTTCTTATTGTCCCTGCCGCTTTTGTTGTCCGGCCGGCCCGCTTCAACCCACCGCTACTTACCGTGCCCCCCCGACCCCGGTTCTTAATCGCCTCACCCAGACCTCCGCTTCAAACATTTAAAATCAAATTATCAGAGAGAAACGCAAAGACCAGCTTTAACGGGGAAATCAGTCGGAGCAGAAGCTTTTGGGTCCAGCCCCCGACTGTGCGGGGACGGACCCGGCCGGTGCGGGGGGCAAAGCGCGGTGAGGCGAGCAGCCACCGGCGGGGCCGTTCCCCCTCCCGCACGGATGCTTCCCGTTTCTCACATAAACCGGTTTTGCTCGTTTTTACCTCAAAGCGGCGGCCCCGGTTCCCCGGCGCACGGCCAGCAGGCCCTACGCGCCCGCCCTCCTTCCCTCCCGACCCCGGCCCGCCCGGCCCGGCCGCCGGCGCTCCGATACCTCTCTCGTCCTCGTCGATGCGCAGGGCCATGGAGATGCACTCGAAGGCCCGCTTGTGACAGGCCCGCACCGTCTCGGGCGCCCCGCCGGGCTCGGGCGCGTCGCCGTCCCCGGCCCTGCTGCCCTTGGCGGCCATGAGGGCGCCGCGGGAGAGGCGCTCGCACAGCCAGGCGAAGAGCAGCCCGAGCTGGAAGGCGACGAAGCGGAGCAGGGCGAAGGCGGCGAAGAGCGGGTACGAGAAGTAGTACAGGTTCCGCTTGTGGGGGGAGGCCGCTGCCGCCGCCCCCGCCGGCGGCACGGGGGGGGCCGGCCCGGGCGGCGAGGAGGCTGAGGCCCCGGCGGCCGGGGGCGCGGAGCTGGAGCCGGCTGAGCCCTTCTTTTTTCCTCTGCCGCCCGGAGAATTCATTCACCGCCGTCGCCATAACCCGCTGCCAGCGACTGACAACAACCGGCCATGGCGGCAGCGGCGGCGACGCCCCTTTCCCTCGGCCCCCGGGGGAGGAGTGCGCCGCGGCCCTCGCCGAACGCCGGCAGCCGCCGCCGCGACAATAGGAGGCGGGGATGGCGCTGCGGGGCGCCTACAGCTCCCGGCCTGCCCCGGGACGGCGCGGCGGCGCGGCCGGCGTGGGGCGGGCCGAGGGGCGGAGGCTGGGAAGCGCCGTCCCGGGGCGGCGGAGGGGAGGGGGCTCGGTCTCCGGCGGGGACCCTGGCAGGAGGGAGGCGGCGGGCGGGCGAGCTCCGCGTCCCAGCAGAGTTCCACACCGAGCGGAAAGACGATGAATAATTTAATAAAATCAATTACTGGGAGCGGAGCTGTGAACCGCCCCGCCGGCAAAAGGCGGTGCGGTCACCTGGCATCGCCGCCCGCCCGCCGTCGGTGCTGGAGGCCGGTGAGGAGGGTTCGGGGGAGCGTCCCCCTCCCCAGGGCGCGGGGGCTGACTGCGTGACCGCGGCCGGTGCCCCCTCCGCCGCCGCGGCATCGCCCCCGGGGAACGTTCGGCAGCGCCTGGTCTGCGCCGCATCTCTGTAATTGAGGTGACAGGCTGTCTCCTCACGGGGAGGAAACTAATGTAATCGGGAATACATTATAGATACATCCTTCGGGGGAGAAAAAAATATATATTCTTCCACCCTCGTTATTACTGTATAAAATACAGAACTTTATTACCATATGAAATCACATTAGTACATAAAACAGCTATTAATGATCCAGAACCACTATTAAACAGAGACAAAGCTATCAGTGCTGAAAAATCACAGTAAGGTTCATTAAGTATTTTTCTTCTGTATTTGGTAAGAAGGATCACGTACTTCTGCCGTGAAAATATCATGAAATATTTTCATAGAAAAACAGAATGGTTAGAAGGGACCTTAAAGACCATGGAGTTCCAACCCCCCTGCCCTGGGCAGGGACACCTCCCTCTAGAGCAGGCTGCTCAGAGCAGCAACAAATTCAGGTATTCTACATATAGTTTAAGCAATGACATTTTAGAGAATATGATGAAAAATTAGAATGATTTCTATTTTTATTTCTATTAGAAATATTTATTCTATTTATTTTTATTCTATTATTCTATAGACTATATTATATACTTATTCTATAATTATTCTATTATTCTATTTATTTTTATTTCCATAAGAATGATAGATGAAAAATTAGCCTGCAACCAGAATGAACAGCTTACACCTCTTCACTCTCACCTGTTCACATTAAGAATTTGTGTTCCTGTTTTTTTTAAGTTTTAAAAATAAATATCAGTATTTTGCTTTATGTTTTTTCACCTGTGTCAAGCTAGGCTCCTCGACACCAGCTAAGGTTGCCAGCACTAGGTACTCAAATTGGGACAAAAGACAGCATGTGGTTCTGCTGTAATTCCAGGTCCTTCACTTGACTATCAAATCTGCCACTGACTGCACCAGCTTTTGAGCCTGCTTATCACACTGATAACATTATCAGTTCTGTAAACATGATTTCAAATTAACTTTGAATGAAGTGTAAACACACTTGACCAGTACCATTAAGAATCAGATTATTACACCAGAGCATGGTCTAATGAGAATACCACCTTTTGTTATTTTTCCACACTGTGGATCATTCACACCTAGATCATTCATGTGCATTGTTGTCACTACAGCGAGAAAACAGAGAAGACCTACTTTCATAAAACAACAAAATAGTTTATTTAAAAAAAAAAAAAATTATTTTGACTACAGGAATGCAACTACTTTCTCAAGCGAAAACTAACAAAAAAGTTCTAAAGGCCTTTTTAGTTTACTTGCACAAATGTTACCACAGAATTTAATTCCTACTAAAAATAAAAATCAGACATAGATATTGACATACCAGTGCAATTTGTGACAGTACAACAACAAATGCAGCAGCAAGATTTCCATTTCTTGATAGCTTCAAGTCAGGACAGGATGATTAAAACCAATACGTAGCGAAAGCTGAGCAGCTGCATTTTTCTTAATACAAAATTGGGCAAAATTAATGGCCAACAGCCATGGTTTTGCAAACCTTACTCTACACATCTCTGAAAGGTTATTTCACTGGCGAAACCACCTCTTCAGCTCAAACCTAGTTTCAGCAAAGTTATTTCGCACAAACATCACAGTGAACTCAGGCGTCAAATTGCATTGGTTACCGGTAGATTTCTGCACGACAGGATTTTCCAAGGGCAGGTGTTTTTCAACTGCTTTTTTGAAGAGAAACATCGCGCCAGTTTTAGCCCCGAGAGGGCACCTACAAGCGGCATTACCTGCCTGGTCCCCCACAGCTATCTTTAACCGAGGCTTCCCCGGCTACGCCTCAAAAAGCCGAGCGGAGATGAGGAAAATTACTTCAAAAAATAAAAAACCCTCGGTCAGAGCCGCTCGGTGTAACGCCGCCCCAGAGGCGGGCCGGGCCCATTCAGCACCTGCCTACGGCCCCGCGGCCGCCGCCTCCCCCTCAGCCGCTCTCCGACGGTTGAAGACCCGCCGCGCGACCCGCACCGCCCAATCACCCGCCTCCACGCGCCCACCCGCCAATGCGGAGGGGGCTGAGGCGGGAGGCGGCCCCGCCCGTGGATGACGTCACCCACCCGCGCTGCCCCTCTGGTTTCCCCGCCCCTCCCCGCAGGCCGCCGCGCGGGGCCGGGCGGGGTCTGGCGCTGCGCAGGCGCAGTTGGCCGGGCGGCGGCAGCGCGACGGTTTCACTTACGTCAAAACAATTTACGACACCCTCCGGTTTGGCTGCGGGAGAGGCTGTGGTCCTCCCCGCCGCAGCGCCCGGTCTCCCGCCCCTCGCCGAGCTCTGGACACACCGGCGGGTGAGGGGGGCGCGGGTTGGCCTCTGCCGTGCGGGCCGGTGCTGCTTGGGGCACGGCCGGGACCGCGGGGTCCCAGCCTGGCCCTGCGGGGCGGCGAGGGGGGGGTCGGGGCGCTGGTGGGCCTGTGGGGCAGGGAAGGGAAGGAAGCAGGCAAGGAAGGGGAGGGAGGGGGGGGAGCAGCTCCCGTTTGCTCTGTAGCTTTCTGGTGGTTGTGCCGTTATAACCGAACCATGCAATATCAGTCAGCTCGTCTTCCGTCTCAGCCTGCTGACCGGTCCTTATATTGCTTTCCAAGATCACTGTGCGTCCAGCCAGTCCCGCCCCGCCAAGCATGGAGGCAGAACAGATGATGGAGGGACAGCCGCAGGTACTGCCAGAAGCGTTTGTATGTGTATCATGTCGCAGGAGCGTTGCTGCTTTGCTCACCGTGTGGGTTTGCTTTTTTTTCACAGGTTCCAGAAAATCCCCATTCTGAGTATGGTCTCACGGAAAATGTAGAGGTAACAAAAATTTTGTTGCTGTAAAGTACGGTGGAAGTCATGTTGGAAAATGAGTCTTGGGTGGAACTTAAGCAAATGTATCGTTTCCAAGAAAGTTAGATGGAAACTGAACCAACAGATACTAGTCCCTTGCATAATTGGCTATTAATTAATATATTTTTTGTTGTATTATATTATATTAAATGGTGTTAACGTAAATAAAGAACTTTTTAATGAGGTGGGTTTTTTTGGAAGTATCCTATGATTGTTAATTATTCTATTAATTTAATATGGCACAAAACATCAGCTAGCCTTTTATTACAGGAGGGGAATACCTCCTGTACCATTAAAGAAATGCCTTCAGTCTCCCTCCATTATAAGCTCCTACTCTACGCAAAGCTTTTGCAGGATCAGTCCTCTGTGGCTGATCTCCCCGATAACTGCCTGCCCGTGTGCCCCAGCTTCCACTACCGGACCACAACAGGTTGGATACGTTGGCCCTGTATTGGTAGATCAGTGCATGTTGAATTGAAAATGTTTGGTTCACTGACCCTGGCAGGGAATCCTTTTCTAACTGCAGTTAATGGTGTAAAACGATTTGGTACTTTTTGACCAAGAGGCACCTGGAAGCATTTAGTGTATCTCTTCTTAAGTTACTCATCTATACTTGAATAGAGCATGGTCTCAAAAGTGCTTGACTTCAACAGAGGCTTCTTTGTCAGGCTTCACCCGAATTCCTTATGCTTTTAGCACTTGTGTTAGAAGTGTGTGCACACAGGAACCATTCAATTGGGATGACTCTTGTGAGTAGTCACTCCTGTCTCAGTGGTGTAGAATTTAAATTTCAATGCAACAGCAGAAATAACAACAGCAGCGATTGGGTGTCTTCTGTGTTAGAAAACTTACGACTTCCTAACATTGTTTTCCCAGACTGTAAGAATTTAACAGAAGGCTTCTCCAGATTAGATTTTTGTGCAAGGAAAAATATGCACTTAAATTTTCTTACAAGTTGTAAAGAAGTTATTATTGCCAGTGAATTGCAGAGAGATGTGTACTTTGTTTGCACTCACACTTCAAAGTAGATGTGGCTGCTGTTACTAATGTTCATTCACTTTTTCTTTTTTTTCTTCCCCTACCTCAGAGGATAGTAGAAAATGAGAAAATAAATGCAGAGAAAACATCAAAGCAGAAGGTGGATCTCCAGTCGTTACCCACACGTGCCTACTTGGACCAGACAGTTGTACCTATCTTGCTACAGGGACTTGCTGTTCTTGCAAAAGAGAGGTAGGATGCTTCAATGTTCCTTCTGTTCTTAAGAAAAAAGTAGGTCTCAAACTTGGGCAGTCTGTCACCTTTTCAGACCTCGCACACCAGACGTGGTTTTACTAGTTTGCTGGTTGTAAGAAAGCCATTAAGACAGGTTTCTGAACCGATGAATTACTATGACTGTGCAGAACGTGTTCATCACTTAGGAACCATGCCTGTGGCGTGGTAAGAGTTGTTTATGGAACTCGTGATCTCGCAATGAGGTATACTACTACAAAGGTTTTGGAGGAAAATTTTTTTTTTTTTAATTAATTTTATCACAGAATTGACCTTACAGAAGCAAGGCAAGAGGTTGTTCTAGTTTTGAACAAGATTTTTGCAGTGTGGAATTCCAGAGTTCTGCTTGTCATTTAAAAAACAGACAGACAAATTGGGCTTGACGTGCATCTTTGTCAGCAATTAAAACACTTCTAAAGGATGAGGGTGCCCCTGCACTGTCAACACAGTAAGAAGCAACCTGATGGTTTATCCTTTGAGGAAAGATTACACTGTCAAGGTGCCTCAAATCTCTTATCAGTCAATGTAGAAGGGTTTTCTTCTTTTTTATCTTTCTTCATTATGGAAGGAGCTGTTCTTTATAGGGACTCATCACAGGAGTGAAATTGGAATATTGATAGAAGAGGTTGGGGAACATATAGGGGGAAAAAAACCAGCTTGGACTATCAAACTGCCAAGGTCAAATTAGCTAATCAGTTGAGCATATTAAAACCGCAGCAGTGAAAATCTGAACTACCCACTCTGCTGTATAATCATCTGCTTAAAATTGAACTGGAAAGTAACACATGGATGCTAATTTCTTTTTCTAAGGAATATAGAGATGTTCAGGGAACAGCTCAGTACATCTGATGATTATGCCTGCAATTCAGTAGAAATTATCACCCAGGATAGTGAGCATGTGGATAAATAACATATTTGGGAGGAGTCAACACAACTTTTGTCAGGTCTTGTAAGTCTCTTGGAGTTGACTTAAGGAGTTAGTAAACAGGAACCCAGAAATGCCTTCAGTCTCCCTCCATTACTGTTTGATTAAATTTCCAAAAGGTTTCTGGCACAGTCATTCACTGAAAGCCTTTAAAGAGAGTTAGGTGCTGTGAGACTGAAGGAAAAGGAAAAGCCTTTATATGGATGAGGAACTGATGGGAAGATACAAGACAGAGGCTAGAAGTAAATGGTGAAATGAGCTCAACATTAGAATCCTGAAAAGGTTTATTTATAACAATTTAAGTTGCTGACAAAAATTTGTTAATGATACTGGGTTTTACAGAATAGGTTTGGGTTCTTCGTGTTTTGTTTTCTGTTGGGATTTTTAAAAAATTGATCAATTGTAATTGCACAGGAACTGCATAAATTTGATGTGAAACTATGGAAGACGACTACAAAAAAGTGAAACTATGACAAAGTGAAAGATGGAACACAAATAAACAGAAAATGATGCACCTAGGAGGATCATTAATACCCTAATGCTAGTGACAAAATGATAGATTCTGAACTGACAATTCAGACCATTTTCTTTTTGTGCGGAAAAAAAATAATCTTTAAACTGTTAAATGTATATGGCGATGCATTGCAAAATCAAAAATAAATTCTTAGTGGTAGGACAGAAATTGAAGGGATAAAACCAAGCCACAATGTCACTATATATATATTTATAATGTTCTTGTATTTTTAATATTGTAATTCCAATCTCCTTGTATTTTGGTCGAATGTGAGAAAGTAAGGGTGACAAGGTGGTGAGAATGGACTGCTGTCTGTATATGAACCGACTCGATATCTAGAAAAGATACCTCTGAGAGAGAATACATTAGGAATCTGTTAAATCACAAATAGCATAGAGATGATTAATTAGGATGGATTGTTTATCATCTCCTCTGATACAGTAATCAATTTAAGTGAAGCAGGTAGCAAATTAATAATGAACAAAATGAGGTGATCCTTTACAGGTCACATAATTAAGCAATATAATTTTTTACCTCAGATTGAGTACATTAATATTTTATTTGGGCTTAAGGGGCAACTGGTCAAAGTTGTAGAGGAATCCGCCCAGGACTACTAACTGCTAACGCAAAAAGCTGATACATGCTTGGAAGCCAAAAGGATTGGTCCAGAGAAATATCTCTGCACACTTCTTATTTTTTCTTTCCTATTTTTTTTACACTCTTTATAGGCATATTTGCTCACTTCCAGACCTTTGGTCTGACCCACTGTGAAGTTAAATTGCTCATTTATTCTGCAGACAGAATCCAGACTAGCAGGATTCATGCACTGTATCTGGAAAAGCTTTTTAAAAAAACCTTATGAACTAAGGCCAGTGATCAAAAGTGTAACTGTTGTAGCAGTTCAGTAACACTGAACCAACAGTCACTAATACTCCTTATTGAAAACTTCTTCATCAGAAATAAAGTGGAAGCCTACAGTGTAATTCTATGTAATTGGTCATCCCTAAATTAAGGCTTGTAAGTGTTTGGGGGGGAGTTACGTTGCTTTTAAGAGAAGGTGATTAGTTCTCCAGCTACCTAATTTCTTATAATAAAAAATAATGGCTTTTGATTTACTTTTTTCTTTACAGACCGCCAAATCCCATTGAATTTCTAGCAGCATATCTTTTAAAAAACAAGTCACAATTTGAGGACCGAAATTAACTCCATAAAAATGAGGACAATTTGGCTGCTAGACTGGAATGCTCATTGACCACAATTTGTTTTCTGCTGTAAAAATCCTTTGGAACTATGATGTTGTCTTTTCTTAATCGCACAATTTGCGTTACTTTTTGAGTTATTTAATAAAGAACACTTTACATTTACTTTGTTCACTTGTTTTAAACTAGCTATTAAAGAGACTTTAAAAATAAAGTACTGAAACTCCACCGCTGGATGAAAGACTGAATGAATAATTCTATGGGGCTACATGACCTGAAAGCATAAAAAAAAGGGGAACAATTTATTATGGGAATCACAAGGGTGATAATGTATATTACTTAATTTTATTTTATATAGCACCCAGCACATGCAACATGCCTAAACAGAAAGCAAACAATTAAGAGCAGTCAGAATTTATTTTGAGGAAGTATTGATTAAGTAGAGAGGAGAGAACTCGCTTCAGAACACCAGGAAGTGGGTTTAGTTAAAACAAACAATTGGATTCAGCAGCTGAACAGATCACCTGCGGTGTCCAGAGTTTCAGATACTTACATTAATATGTAAATTAATAATGTTCAGCATTTGTCACTGATCTCCTGTGACTGATGGGCTGGATTTAACTGAAACATGGAATAAAGTTTGAAGGGACTTACAAAGGTTCTGTAATTTGGTTCTCTGTACTGCTAGCCCTCGCTGGAGCAATTTTTCTCTGTCAAAGAGGAATATCTCAAGTTGGAATGGACCCATAAGGACCAGCAAGTCAAACTCCCTGCTCCTCGCAAGGGCTACCTAAAACTAAACCATATGACTGAGAGCATCATCCAGAAGCTCTTGAACTCTGACAGGCTTGGTGCTGTGATCGCTTCCCTGGGGAGCCTGGTGCAGTGACTGAGCACCCTCTCAGTGAAGTACCTTTTCCTAATGCCCAAGACAATCTTAATCTACCCACTAAAATACCAAGTGTTCTGATTTTTTTTTTCCCCATTGGGTTTACTAACACCTTTTTTGTTGTTGTTTTTCCCATTCTTAACATCTTTTTCTGACCCCGTATTTATTTTTCTTGTAATCTCAGTAGGGGCAAAGGCCACAGACCTTAGGGTACAATATAAGAAGCTGCAACAGAAGAGCAGGGATCAGAAGAGAAAGCGAGAATTAAGAGAGTAAACAACATGTTGTGAAAAAGTACTAGGAAAACATGAATATTGTAGCTGGAGAACTGGCTCACTAGCTTATTGGCAGTGGGTAAAGGGGCTAGACAGAGCCCTCAGAATTTCTTTTTTTTTCTTTTCTGAAACTTGTAACAAGGAGCATAATCAGTGTTGTTCACTAGCACTGGACACTGGAATCCAGGTTAAGCATAGCCCAGGTTTTGATAGACAGGGAGAATGACAATAATTTGTGACCGTCACCAAAATGGTGACTGACTAATTCCAAACATTACACAATTAATCCTACATATTAATTCAAATAAAATTCAATATTGCCATCTTACCATTCCCATCTCTATTCTGTGTTTCTTAGCTAATTACTTTAACATAGAAAGCAGTTAAAACCTTATAAATTAAATTCCTTGCTGCATGGGTTGGTGGTTTTTTCTGTATGACATTAAAGGCTGCATTATTTTTTGGTCATTATGCATAAATTCACAAAAAAAGGGACTTAGGACTCTCATTTGACTTGTTCCTGCAATGACTTAAAGATACACACTGTATTTGCAGTACATTAGGTGGCCCACTGCATAAGTATTTTCCCTTAGTTCTCTGACATCTAGATGGCTTTCTTATGGTAGTCTGAAGATTTTTTTGTTTTAACTTGTTTTAGCATAGTTTTTCTACTTTAATAGCTTAGATGCATTGTTGTAAGAGTGGACAGAACATAGATCCTTCAGAGAAAAAACGTAACTTTTCAATTTTCTGCTAACATGCAGGGACTGGATTGAGATCTGGCTGTTACTCCTAGTAGGAAGGCTCTCAATATTTCACATATTTCTTAATATGCTAAGAAGGAAGTATTGAATTAGTGTAGTCCAAGAGCAGTAAGACTGCGGAACAAAACAAATTGAAATAAGCCTGCAAACCCAAAACCAAGCCTAAAAAGCTCTCTTTTAGAAAATGTACAGAAATTGTGGAATGAGATTACTAATTCTATTGCATTGTGGTGAACACAGTCTCCATCAAACACTGACACTTAAAGACACTGAAAGGATTTTAACAACAGTGTTTTGACTTTCTGGAATGAATAATAACATTTAAGCAGAGACAAGGAGACACCATAAAGACTTGGTACTGCTATTTTTATTGCTAAAGCAGTATTCCAAGTTTTCTTCCCTAGGTGACAAGATCTCAAGATTGGAAGAACTGCTAAATGGGAAAAAAAACCCTAAAAAAATCTATTCTGATCCCCAGTTTCTACGTTGAGGATTTGTGCAAAACCATACAAAATAAGCAGTTCAATTATTAATCTTCCCTGGACAGTGCAATTTTCTTATACTGTATTGTCATGCTTGAATTCAGAATAAAATTCCTCAGCTTAGAGGAACAGCCGTTGAGCAGCTGCACAAAACTTGTGAACACCCTGGCTCTCTGCACAGCTCTTGGGTCAGTAGAATCTCAACACATCAGTACCAGTCTTCAGGTGAGCTGTCCCTGCCAGCAGCGTGCCACCTACTCAGCTGTTGGAGCTACTCTTTGGTACACGGTGTCACCTGCTGTTGTCTTCCCATCTAGGCTAGTTCAAGAGAACGAAAAAGCCATGTCCACAAGGTGAAGATGTTAGAAGTTTTACTACAGCAGCTTTTCTGGGCAGCTTCCTCCAAGAAAATAAGTCAAAATGTTACTAGCAGCAGTGAGCTCGCCAGCTCTAAGAAATAAATTCTAGTGATTCTTGCAAAGGAATGACAAGTCAACTGGAAAAAGCTGACACACCCCTTTACTTGTTAAATTGGCTTCACCAATTAGGATCTGCTGCATAGAGAATACTCTGTAACGGGAAGAAGATAGCAAGTTACTGTCTGAATAACCAGATCAGATCTGAATAGTCCAGTTCTCAAAGCTAGGGAAGTAATGGTAAAGTCCAAATTTTCAAAGCATTTACTTGTTTTAAACTCTCCCTGCTACAAAACAATGAAAATTCTGTGAAGAGACTTGACAGATGCTTGCTGCTCCCAATTTAATCCAGTAAAAAAAGGAAGTACTATTTTTCCACAGGAAACACCAGTTCTGAGGGCTTCAAGATAAAGATATTTAATTTTGAAGTACAAATTAAAACCCAAGTGATTTTACATTTATAAAAATGAAGAACTCATCAATAAAATGGAGAATAGATGTAAGGGGCTACAAGTTATTAATAGATGTAGAATAGAAGCTTGAAGAAATAATTGCAATGTTAGACTTATGACATCCTACTGCTAAGTAGCTGAAAGCCATTATCTCTTGATTCTTGGATAATTATTGTTCAGTTTTCTCCGCACTAACCTGGGTAACCGAGTCAGTACAAGCTGCGAAAGGCAGTAAAATTAAACAGTAAATAAAACAGGATATCTGGTTAATACCATAACCCACCTTCCAAGAAGACTTATTTTAGATCCAATATCGAGAAGTTGCTATTCAGTAACTGTGAAAGAATTATGTATGACTCATATGCAGTATTTTGAAGACTACCTTTTTATATGCTTCCACTGAAAACATTATCTTTTACCTTGAAGGGGACAGTGACAGAAGAAAGGATTTCCCACTGAAAGCAATTCTGATCAAAGGGTTCTACATTCTCATATTATGAAGCCTGTTACCACCTAAAAGTAAAGTTTGACTTGCCAAACCTTTTTTTTTTTTTTTTTTTTCCCTGATTTATCAAGGACTTTCTCCAAAATCAGCACAGGTCTCTGAGCTATCCATTTTCTCTCACTATCGTAAATGCAGTCTGATCAAAAGAAGTTCTGTCTCCCCATCAGACTTTCTAGAAATAAAACAGCTGCTTTCAAACAAACAAAAAATCTGAAAAATTCTGAAAGACAGAAGCAGTTGAAATCAGTAGGTTGGAAAGGAAATACATTAGAAGAATCCCTCTGCCTACCATGCTTGACAGAATACAGGTTTTGATATATTCTCATCGTTGTACTAATTACGTAACAAATTATTCTTAGCCAAGCCTTAGCTTGTGTTCCCTATTCTATTTCATAGTCAGAATTCATTTCCAGAGCGACTACATAGCCTAGATCACAGAAGCACAGAAGCCAGCTGTTACAGAAAAAGGCATTGTTTCATGATCAAAAAAGTATCAGCACTGCTTCTGCTGATGTTCACCATTCAAATACAGTTTAAAGTTAGGACTCAAAATGTAAATGCTGTGTGAATAACTACGGGGCAGTTGACAACAGTGCTAGTGCAACACTGACTAGGAATGTGTCATATTCTTCTTCCCAATGGGCTTTTATCTCTCTCCTCAAAGTTTGCTTTGCCATTCTGCATAAAAAAACAGTTTTCTGAGAGGAGCCTAAATTGATAAAAGGCTGCTGGACGGTTGAGAAGTATCTCTTGGACACCATACAGCTTTCTTTTTTCTCTGAGATATTTCCACTGAGATATTTACAAGATGGATAGTTACCCACTGATATTACCTCAGATGCTATTACGTTACACAGGAAGTGGAGATATTTCCCTTTGTAAGGACTACAAAGTGTGTGGGGGCCTGCTTTTAACAGGGGAAGGCAGGACTGCTCAGAACAGCAGGTTCCTCAGATGGAGAATGAGAGTTTTAAAAGAGAAAAACCCAGACTAACAGTGGCAGCACACAGCTTCCTGAGAAGGGAGGAGACAGGAAGTGGAAAACATTAAAAGCAGGATAGGAAAGCAGGTAGAATAAGCCATGTGCATGAGGACAACAAGAGCAAAAACCAAGAAAGCAACAAAGCTTGAAAACTTGGTCACCCAAAGACATGTGCCACCCAAGCTGGGCACAGGGTGTTACTCAAGGAAAACCCTGCATGCTGAGGGCACACTAACTGGCAGGTCACTCGTGCCACAACCCACCTTCATGCTTTTCTTCCAGGTAAGGAACAAACTGTCAGCAGACAGGCGTGTAGCAGTGGCCTGTGCTTCAAGGGTACGCTAACTTGGGGGATCTGTCCAGGCATCGTGTCAAATAGCTCTGAACCTGTAACTTCTTCTGTGCTCGGAAGAATTACAGACAAAGCAGGAGGATCTCCCAACCAAACCCATGCTTCACAGCATTCACTGAAAGCTGTTTCTCAGCCTGTGGCTAGAACACTTCCATACCTCCATGTCCTGAGCACCGGGAAGCCCAGCACCGCCAGATTCTATTTAACTGAAGAACTGCTTGCTTTTCTGTTTCTGCCTCCATTATGTGGTACTGAGGGAGCGTGTCACCAGCCCTTAAACAAAGAAACAATCCAGGATCAGGAGGTGATAGTTAGAAGGAACCCACAATTCACTAAACACTGTGCAGTGGTATGACGTCCACCTGTGATAGGGAACAAAGAAAAAAATCCTTCTGTCACCCTTGCCAGTGGGAACAGCAGAAATTCCTCCTGTAATACTATGGATGATAAGCTTTGGCAAGAACAAGCAGAAACTGAGGAAGATGTCCTCCAGTCTCACTGGGCTCTGGATTCATAGTGCTCTGGATAACAGAGAAGGACAGAAATTCACTGGAAAACAGGCTATCATGGTGTTTGTGGCATGCTAAACCTAAGGATTAGCAAAAAAGGCTGTTTTCAATGACCCGCAAACACTGAGCTGCAGGGAACAACTGTTCCTCTGCATCTATACAAATATTATTCACATTACATGAAGTAAAAACTTCATCCTAATCTACACCTAATATAGGTGAGAAAAAAACTACACACAAGGAAAGAAAGGTTAATGAGGAAAGCAAGGGAGAAGGAAACTTGGAAGCACAAGGAGAAAAGGGATCCAAACCAAGAGGTTATGCAGCAACAACAAAAAATAAATATATTTAAGAAATGTTAAAAGGTAAGCAGAAAATTAAAATAAACCACTATATAAAGAAAGATAGTAACCCCAGAAAAAAATACTTATAAAATGTTTTTACTCATTAAAACCACTACTCATTGAAACTAGATTACCATTTGGAAGTTCCTATATTTTATTTTCATTGGAGGGGAAATGCTTAGAGGAGATGAAAACTCTTCCCTCTAAACAGTAGAATGGAATACCAGATTATTAAAAATTATTTTAACCTCCAATTCCCTTAGGATGTTCCTCCTAGCAGCCTCCTCTGACTGTTCTTGGTGGATTGTGGGACAATGGTGCATCAAAAACATTAACTATACACTGGCATGACCTGTTTTGTAAGTATATAATCACATTTATTTTTCCCCATGGACTAAAATTTATCCTCTGCTGCGTTTAGTTAAATTTATTGAGTAGTCAGTTCAGGAACTACTCCCAGTACTGAAGTTTATGTAAAAAGATTTGAGAATTATAAATGGGTATCACAATATAGTTTTATGTTAAAGCAGTCAGGCAGGATAGTTATTCCAGTCTAGGCAGCAGTTACAATTGTTGTTAACCTTTTCCAATCCACTATTCATAAAATAACAACTGAACACTATCGGGATCAATAGAGCAGTGAAGGCTTCATAAAACATTAGACATTTGCTGGGATAATCTGGCCCCATTTCCTCATGACAAATATTATTAATTCAAGACCCCCGTTTTTCTTGCCCCTCAGCTGCAGAGGGAGGCCAGTGTCATGGGTGCTGAGGAGGATCTTCACTGATAAAAATGACATCAGCCATTTCTCTGCAGCACAAGCCTCTTTGATCTTCAAGACATACTGCAAACAGTGCCTTTGTCCCCGTTCTCTTTGTTCTACCGTTTAAAAAATAACAAACACACACACAAAAAAATCCAAACTAAAAGCTCTGTATTTTGCATGCATTTGTAAGTTTGGCTGGAGGACTTTTTGAGCAATAAAATAACATAAGGGGAAGGAGAATGCGTTCCCTGACCTGGCCCACACATATTCCTCCTCACAAAGCATCTGTCTGCCTTAATACCTTAATGGCTGCAGCCCCTCATCTCTCCTTTTGTGGCTTCCCTCTCTTCTCGTTGCATCTCATACGTCAGTGCCTAAAATTGCCTCTTCCCTTCCCCCCAATTTGTACCGGCCATACTCCTCTTTCCAGTTCTGCCTCATTGGCTACTGTGAGTTATAATGTCGCCATGGCAGCGGTCCATTCACCTCGCCAATACACAAATTAAAGAGGTGGGGAAGGATTAAGCTGAGGAGAATTGGGAGGCCTCTACACAAGCGCACTCCGGCCCAGACTGCGCACCCCGGTACCGAAGCCCTGAGGCCCGGGCGGGGAGGCGCAGGAAAGGCACCGCTCACAGACAAGCAGCTTCAGCCCAGCGAGCTCCCTGTTGTCGCCGCCCGAACCCGCTGCCTTACGATGGCAAACGACACGATGCTCTGTCCCTCGAGCCCTCAAAACCCCAACTGCCCCCACAGCTCGTACCGGGAAGGGGGCCGCGGGGGGAGGTGGGGCGCAGCGGCGGCATCGGGGGCTGCGCTGTGTTCCCCTCACAACAGAGGGACAACCGCCGGCACCAGAAAGCGCCGCTTCGCTCCCCACTACACTGCCCACCGCCCTGGCCCGGGAGAGGGGCTTCCTGCAGCCGGCCGCTCCCTCACCCGGGAGCGCTGAGGGAGCCCGGCAGCCGCGAGCCCCCACCAGCGGCGCCACATGAGGGTAACGGCCACCGCGGCCCGGGAAAAGGCCGGGGGGAGAACAGGGGCGGGGCTCCCCCTCAGCCCCCACCGCCCGGCCCGGCCCGGCCTCCCCTCATCTGACCTGAGCTCGTAATCTTCCCTTCTACCACGGAGACACGGCCCCGCCAATCAGCGAAGCCAGAAGCTATCGCCATGGCAACGCGACTGGCCAATCCGAGGGGAGCTACTCTCCCTCCGAGCCCCGCCTTCTTTGCCCCCCCCTCCGCCCTCCTCGCCTCCCCCACGAGGCGGTGCCGCTCCATTCCGGGCTTGTCAAAGCGGGTGGGCGGGACCGCCGAGGGAAAGCGGCCAATGGCAGCGAGGCTTTTGCTTTCGTGCCCAATGGGGGAGCGGCGCCTGTGCGGTCCCTTATTCCACGGGAGCCGAGCCGGGCCAAACCCAGTTGCTGCCGCGGCCTCCTTCTCTTCGCGTCCCCCCAACCTGCCGGTGCGGAGTTGGCGGCGGCAGTGGCAGCGGCGGCCTCGGGCTTTGTCCCCGCGCCCCCCGTCCGCGCTTCCCCCCGCCCCCGAGGGGCTACCGCCTGCGGCCCGG